AAACATATAAATATGAAACAAAACAGTGGGCTTTTTATTCTGTGCATAAAACATAATCACTTTGAATCATTTACCGCTACATTATCACGTCTTAACAAATATTTTACACGTTTTTTCAAGATATCTGTTTCTAGGTTATTTGTAACAAGGATAGAACATTCAAAAGTGTTTTTTTAAAAAACGTTAGTGTCCAGAAAAAGATTTCCTGTGAGATTTTCGTCAGTGTTTGATAGCAACCTTAGTAATCTGACGTGTAAAATATCCTTTTTACTAGTTAATTGTTGGATATGATATGACTGATAGACCCAATATTAGTCAACAGAAGACATGAAAAAGACATCACCCACTTAACAGTTTTAGTAATGAGTATCAAAGTAAAACTCAATGCAATTGATAGAGGGTCATGCAGACGTTAAAAAACTGGCATTATTAAGTTTTGCTTTTAACTCAGTCGGTAGTAATATTTTTCGAAAAAAACATAACTCAGAAGGAAAATTTCTCTGTGATCTCTAGTCAAAATCTTACAATAAGTATCAAGAAAACTGGTTTAAACTATAAGGTAAGTTAGACGGAAAGAAAGGTCAATGATTCAATTACATACTGTAAATGTGACTGCCATCGGTAAGATTATAATTTACAGATGAATTAGTCAGATTGAAGAGAACAACTCATGAATTTTAGAGCGAAACGCATTCATCTAGACAGTTCAATAGCATTTTGGCATTATAGCTGACACCAGTTAGTGATGGAAACCTTAACCCTGGCTCTTAACTCTGACTGCTAGTTGTAATTCCTTACAATAATTTATAATCCCACTTTAACCCTATGAAGTGGTTGGAGTTTCTTAAGGTCACTAGTTTCAGTTTTAAATAATCTATAAATGACCAAATTCCCCCAACATTTTTGTACCGGTTTGTTGAGCTAACCCTATTCTATCAGAATACCACCACCTTTGATTCTATTTCAATTTGATTTGTAGCATGAAACATCAATACACTAAAAGGTCTCTTTCACAGTAATTAGTGCTTTAATGTTGATCCGCTAAGTGATGCTTTCTTTTTAGTGAAACAGAATCTATACAATTTCAGAGGAAAAGGCATCAGAAAGACAGCTTGTAAAGTAATTCAAATGTCCCATTGTAGCGAAATGAAAAAAGAGTACAGGTTCAAATAATTCTATACAGATCATAGTTTTCATCAATGTTTATTTGTTTGTGAATGCATATAGTGAATTGACGAATCAATTTCTACATATTGTTTAAGGTCATATTTTCACGTGTACCACATGGCGTTTTTTTTCCGCATAAAAACTCAAATAACAGCACATGACTAATTCACAAATGAGCTAGAAGGCGTGGGCGATGAAATTAAACCACAGGTACTTTTATTCGTACGGAACAACAAATATCTAGTCTAAATTAACATAGACTATACTGAATATCACCAATCTACAGTGGAAATACAATAAATGTACACTGCATGATCTTATGTCAGTTAAAATGTATACACTTGTAGAAATATATTGACCACAAACGTACCTTATTTGTGATGAGCAGCAAGAAGTGGCCGTGTATCGTTTATAAAGATAAGAAATCAATCGAACAGTTTTTAGCAACTCTAATAACAATTAGTATTTTGGATTTTCGAGGAACCTATGTAATGTAATCACCAAGACCAAATATCTATTCACAACTGATCCTTTATTAAGTACATAGACTTTAATGTTGATTGAGGTCTGAGACAACGGTGTGGTTGTACTGGCATCCACAGAAATGCTGATTTTCACAACGAAAGGAAGGGATAAGAAAAGGCCAGTGCTAAAAATGTCACACCTGACTTAGCCCCGTAGTTGTTCGTCTAAAATGATATTTACTTTAAATTAAGGAGCTGACAAGTGAAAAAGGGTTCCGCGCGTGACCAGCCATAAGCAGTTGTCCTTTGGGCTCTGTGGTCATGCTCAAAGGTCGCCGAGACCAACTGAGACCCAGTTTCCTTTACAGACCTCTCAAGAAAAATATCCTTTTACAGTTTGGTCAACTCGGAGGGGACGACCTCTTCCACACTCGAGATTACCTTGTTCATGATTAAATCCCTTCGTCACTCTTGAATGTTTTTTCTATCCATAGTATCTACTCTTCTCCCATGGCCTTAAAACCATGTGCCATCAACGCTAACAATTTGAGTTCATGAAGTGCTATTGTGGATCCCCTGAAACAGCTCTCTGAATTACACGTTCGACCATTCAATGTCCGAAACTTGAGTCAAATTACACAACAGACTTCCTTATCTAAGTCCTTAGAGTTTAGTGCTATCGATGTATACTGTTTATCGGAGACAAGAATAAATAACTAAAGTGATGTCATTCGCTTGACGTCAATATAGGGAACTGACGCGATATATCATGGTGTAGCTTGTAGCCTACCCGCTTCTTCTTGTGGTCTCGAATGTGTAAGTGCAGCATTAAGTCACAAAAGAGAAGACTCTTTTAAACTGGATCATGAAACAGTCGATTGTATACTCTTCGATTAAACAGGGCAGTAAGAATTCGAAAAGATATAATCGTCTCTTGGTCGTTGTTGGCTATGCTCCCATGACTGCAGTAAATGATCAGTTTTACATAAAGCCTTTTGTTCAACTTCGAAAGGTCAAACGCACAGACATCGTAATTGTAGTAGGGAATTTTAATCACCTGGTGGGTAGTCTAAAAAAGTGAAGGACACTGAAATGGGTCTTAAGATGTTCAATTTAAGCGAACGAAAACGTTGAACGTCTTCTGCAACTGCGCTTAGACATCTGCTTATTTTTAGCAAGCACCAAATTTGAGCATAAGGAAAGATATTGTACGATATGGAGACCGAGTAAGTAATGTTAGGGTTAGACAACAGTTACTAGGTAAGGGTCACAAGCCAATTAGTGAAGTACTGATTATTTATCGACTGATGTGGATGAGAAATGTATTACGTATGCCCAACTACCACCCACCTCGATGGACAATGATGGCTGGTACAGGAGTAAGTTATAAGGAAGATAGGAGTGTCAAACCAAATGTGTCATCAGTCCATCAAATTATTGAATGATGGAGTGAGACGTTTAAGTAGGTTCAGGCTATTTGTTTGAGGTTTGAACGATCATCTTCATTAATAACTAGAAACATTGAGTGACTTGACTCACAATTGGTCAGAATGATGGAGATGCATCCACCCTTTTGCCTTCCGTTAGATCTTAAGTTTCATAAATATCTGGAAGGAATTTTTACTCCACAAATCCATATTTTCTTGTCAAATTATATAAACTATGCTTAATCTTTTCTAATACCACTAAGACTGTTACTACTTATATAACTGTTACATATCGTGGTGTGGTGTGACAACTTGAAATGATCCACATATACGCTAGGTTCTATGTTGCTTATGTCTGACTAAACATAGTCTTAGTTATCACGTCTTGTATGCAAATAATAGTTACATTTCTACAAAATTATATTTAAGTAATTGGTCGGATGCTTTATTTATTTAATAATAATTATTACAGGGACCAATTAAAACAGAAAATATTGATCCAATCATTATCTTAAGTCGTGTTCACTAGACTTGTATTTGGCTCAGTTTTTCATCAGTCACATGTCACCTATCATATGTTGATGTTTGCAAGATAATCCTAACCTTTTTCAATAATTGTACAAATTAAAGATGTTAGCTTTATTTGATGGACCTTTGAGCCTCTTTGTATGTGTATATGTTTACCTTGCATTATTTAACTGATCATAAATCTAATTTGTTCTGATTTAGATTTATACATCAATCAATTAATGAAGCACAATAAAATGGTGTTCGTAATTAATAAATCTGAAAACTTATAGACAATAAAACCATTGGTTCTAATTTTGTTTTTCGTGCTCATGAAAAAGATTACTGTATATCAGACAACGCGAATGGATTACTATTTGAAATGATTTGAGTCGTTCAGAAAATAGACATTCACGAGAAAATAAAATAAATCTGGTTTTAAATATTTACGCAACATGGCTTAAAATGTGTCATAATGGAACATATACATTTAATTATTTATCGTTCGATAAATACCGAACACTGTATTATTTGGAACATCATTCTAGATTGAGGATTCATGTTCTCATAAGTGATTTTCTTGTTGCCTATCATTTTAAAGTTTTTCATATGGATTATCGTAAAACATGTCAAATTTCGGCTTAACTTTTCCTATTGATGTCTTTCAAATTGTTGTTAAAGTGATGAATACAACTTTTTTGATAACCTAGATTTTATTATTGGGTAGTAGAGGTTTTGATCCTACTGTATCTATTTTATCGAAGGTAAATAACAATGGTATGTATGAAAATAATATGAAAAATAATAAAGGTCAACCAAATAAAAGTTCATTTGAAAATAAATTATGTAATAATTTTAATGTTTTGTGATTACTATTCCTAGTCTATTTACCCATGTTTGTTTGACCTTCTATTTCCAACGATTAACTATTGATAAGAGTTTTGTTATTGTATTTTATTATTCTTACTATTATCAGTTCACCTGTCTTCCTACTATAATGGTAAGTATCACTAGTTCCTTCACTAAAACAAAAATTATGGGGTCAAAATCAATTGTACAAACTTCAACTGTTTATATTCACGTATTTATTAACAAATCAAACATTAATTACCATTGATACAAATCAACCAATGAACAATTCTAAGCCATGAAAACTCATCAAGTATAAAGCTTCTTAGTTAAAAAGAGAAAGATATAACTGAAGAAAATGCATGATGAGCCATGTGACAATAATAATCATAATAATAATAATAATAATAATAATAGTCGATTCAATTGAATAGAATATTTATTACTGCCATATCAGTTGTTGCAAAACAACCATATACGTTGTAGATTTTTTATTGGAGAACTAAAAAAACAGTCACGTGGATAAACTAATTTAAGCTAAGAATTTAGAATGAAAAAACAATATGTGTAATGTTATTTTGCTTACCTATTTCAACAGGTATATCAGTAATGTCATTTTCACCGGCCATAATCACTTTCAATTTGGTAAGTTGTCTATAGGGATGTAAAGCAAAGCAAACAAAGAAACGATAGATAAATAATGGGAAGATAAACGGTTATTAGAGATATATGTTGGTAATGACAATTTCAAATCTAATAGAAGATATTCTTTGAAAAAATATACATCCAGTCATCAGGGTCATTTAGTGTTCCAGAAAGAAGATGACGCTGTGTAAATGTACATTTTCAAATTCATTTAATTGTTAATTCTTGAAGTTTTCGAGTGTTAACTTCTCAGAATATTCTAAAATTGATTTCGCCAATAAGTCCATTCCTTAGAAGTATATTTCATATTTTATTATTAACACATGGCTTTGTCGGTAGCTCAAATCACCTGTTGGTTTGTTTAACTGATTACTGGTGTTCTCTTTGTACATTATCCAATTTTATAAAACTCGAATTACGTTTAATAATTATCAATTGTTATTATTATGTTAAGCGTAAATTAGCGTTAGTGGTGGTGGTCGACAGTATATTAAAAATTTAGGCGTCGTATTAGTTGGTGTTCGTCAAAAAGTAAGTGGTAGTATCATCTAATTGCATGTTATCTTATACTAGCTATAAAGTATGACGAATAACAATGCGCAGAGAATGTGCTCTATACCTTACATATGAAATATTAATACCCAGGTTGACTGAATCGATTGTATAACGACCAATATTAGAAGAGTGAATAGCATCTATCTCTAAAGCGTCGAATTACTCATCAGATTACAATACTATAGAGTAATACTGTAGTAATACTATAATACTGACGATCATGTTATGTAGAAAACTAAGGTGAACTCTGGGTCATAGCATTAATCATTTTTAAAAAATAATAAAACTGTCCGAACTTTCAAAGTGTCCCAGTTTAATAGAATAAAATTTTTCTCAAGACTGGGTACAACAGTTTATAAATTTACCATCACTTTCAAAATTTGACTATTATTATACACATGGTAAGTGATTAGAAGTTAACAAATTATGATTACCTTTAAGAATGGTATAGACTTGAACCTATTAAAAGAGAAGTGAAATTCTACACCAGACTGTCTATTTTCTATTTAAAAAACAACGACAGTCATTCATGACTTAGTGTGTGTATATTCTATAATGCTGAAGATTTTTAATGATCGATAGCATAAGGTGAATATGATCACTTAGATATGCATACACGTTTTACCATTTGGGAAGCATACTTCATGTATGTAAATTGTCTGACCGTTTCTTAGCAGATTAAAATTGATAAATCGACTTGAGGAAAAATTACCCACAGTGAGATTAGGATAAATATTATATGTGCATCATTCTAATTAATCTTATAGAATACTGTCTGTCACCAGTTGATTTTATTTTTGTATGCTCATAAATGTTTATCATATTGGCTAGTAAGAAATATTGATCAACTCGATGAAATGAGGCCATTTTTATTCTTATCTGGTTGACATTAAACATTGTATTAAAAGGGTGAAACATTTTATTGAGGATCATAAGTTTTATAATTTATGCATAATGGGCGTTGTAAGAACGAATGCTAAGAAATTCGATTTGCGTATTGAAAAAACTATATTCAACTATTTTGTTTGTTATATGAGATCGATTCACTCTTAAGTAAACTATTGAGTTTGATTTCATATTATAGCTATTTCCTTCTGTTTTATATGGGCAAGTTTAGGATCTGTCTTAATCTACTTTTAGGTTGGATTATTAATAAAGGAAATAAGCTTAGTTCGATAAAACATTCCTCTCAGTTTGCATTATATTCACTGATTACAGCTTACCATTTTAGAAAGCTCGTTTTTCGGTTGGACATAATATCCTATATTGTGACGACAGACCACGGGTGAACTCGGGAAAGCTGTAGGAGGCTCAGAAGGAGCCGAAGATATTCCATCCAATCACCTTTTGGAAGAATATTCTAGAATTCCTACGTGTAGCTCCCCTATTGGGCAATGCTAATAACCCCCTGTATGCGGATTAGAGGACTGTAATGGTGATTTCGTTCTTATTAAAAATTATAAATACCTAACAATTTTGTACTATAATTGACACTGTCTGGGAATAATATTCCTTTCATTAGTCTTCTGTCTTCTCATTGCGACTTGGAAGGGTTCTGGCATTCTAGTGCTCACATTATACGTGGTATATCAAGAACAGCCTTTCTATATATAACATATATACTTAAGAGATTATTATTATTATTATTAGTTTTTACATATATGACTTACCAGTCATTTTGTATACAATTAAATTACAATTAATCTCCACCTTTTGTATTACATATTCATTTATCGTTAATCGCCGTATAGCATTTATTAGTTCAATGGCAACTGTCTGTGTATTTTATATTGAATATTGGAAATTGACATCTATGGACACATGACCACATATGTATGTATCTGTATCCGATGTCTGTTGTGTTTGAGTAATGCTCAATAATTTTCTACAGTTGGTGTATAGAGGTCATTAACTAATAAATTCATTTCAATATGTATGATCTATTATTTTGAGGATAAACGATTAAGAAAGTATAAAGTTTCATTAAAATGAAATGAATACTACTACCATTACCTTCACTACTAAAAAGAATATATATGTTTAATAATTACAACAATTAATGTCACAAGCTTACCCAATACTTGCAGGAAATGTTTTTAATCTATTACATAGAACATTTAATTCTTGTAATGATGTTAAACCTGATAAATCATTTGGTAAAGATTCCAATAAGTTTGATTCCAAATCCAGAATACGTAGTTTCGATAATTGTGTAATTTCATCAGGTAAAGACTTCAAATACGAATGTACAAATATGTAGTAGATAAAAAGAATCCATTGAAAGAGATAGAGAGATTGAAATAACAATCAATTTGTTGTGTTATAGAACACAAGTACACTATAATATAGGCATATATAACAAAAGGTTCTTATTTGTACTAAATTATCTAATATAATTTAATTTCCAATTGATTTTCTATCACGTTCAGTTACCAAGCAAACAAACAGAGAATCAATCTGTTTATTTTAAGTAGGTGTGCTATAAATAAATTCTTTCTTTCTTCTTGGTATAGTATAAATAAATAATTGAATGATTGAAATGAGATATACAGACGAATAAAAGAAGAAAAAGAAACAGCAAACAGTTCATTCCTTTTAATTGTCTTGTATTTAAGAAAAAAGAGACCAGTGAAATAAATACAGTTTAAGAGAAATGGACACACACACATAAATACATATACGCATACCGCTAATCAATCAAAAAAGGTGAACAAAGACTATACAGTTTGTATAATTTAATCACTATTTATACAATTAAAGTTAATCTTATGATAAATTGATGACACAAATTTTTATCAAGTGCTTTCTCTTTTTTTTTCCAAAGTATTACATACATTAAGCAATAAGTTAGGTTAACAGTGAAACCATTCATAGTTTGATGTATAGGTCAAATTACTATGAGATGTATTTTATATATTACAGATATGATTTAGACAAAATATGAGAAAAAAGAAAACCTTTAAGTATTACAGGTTAAAAGACACAGATAGATTAATTTATTATAACGCTAACCAGATTAAAAAGTATTTTTGAAGTGTTCATTTCCACTGTTGTGACTTTTGCCCGGCTAATTATCACGTGATATGATCACCAATCAGAATACGACATTTACACTGTGCCACTACAATGACGTATTGACAGGCATGAACAACCTAGTGTCCTTATTAGTCTTTTTTCTGTCCAGCCCTGTCTGTTGAGTCCAGCACGTCAATATGAGCTTCCATTGTACGAATCATTTATTTCATGCATACTGGGTTTATATAGAAACAAACCAGACCACATCATACCATAAAATAGAAAATAACAATTATGCAAGATCAAGCCAAAAAGTGGCTATGAGTGTGCGAGGCTGTAACTAATAAATTAGTAATAACTTAAGAATAGTAAACCGTATAATAACAGTCTATGGGTCAAATGAAAGCTTATAATAATAAGAATGTAAATATACATATTCTAGTTACTCAATAGTTATACAATAAGAATATATGAATAATATTAGTCCATTAATAGTTTTCAGAAGTTACGCATAACTTAATCTTCGCTAGGATATAACAGAAACTATTAAACAAAGACAAAATCAATCAGTAAAATGAACAACTACTGAATTATTTCATCTATGAAGAACAAAACGAACAAACACTATATACTCTTAAGTATAGATTGTATTAGTGTCATGAAACTATGTTCTATTTGTTCTCGTTGTAAAAATACACAATAATCACAATAAAACCATATCATTTAAAAAAACAATTACCACGGGCGACTAGTATCTCAATGAATTTTTTGAAGTTCCGGTAACAGGTCATAACCTGTAAATTCAACTAAGGGATGAATAAATCACTAACTAAACAATGACAATAGATGAAGATTCCTCGATAGTCAAGTTTAATTTGAAAATATATAAAAATCTCAGTCTAATAGTAGGATTTACTATAATAAATACTGTTTAATTTACCTAATAGCAGCTCACGTGCAATTGAGTTTGTTCACATTTAATTTGGTTAAGCCCTTTTGCTAACTTATTTAACGGACAGAGTCATCCATACAATAACTTATCTATACGACTGTATCTTATTATTCTTGTGCTTGTATGAATTGTATGCTCGAGCATTGCTTACCACCTACGCACAGACTCATTCTGCTAGCTTTAATAATAGTCACTAAATGGATTCAATGAATCATCCATTTCCCTATATATATATATATATATATATATATATATATCATGTTGTTAAATGAATTTTTACAGAGAATTAATGTGAGTCAAATATCATTTTAGCAAACTAAATTTGAATTCTAGATAGAACCTTATGAGAATATAATAATGTGGTTAACTTAAATGACGCATAATTCAATATGAACAAGTTATTACACAATCTGTCGAAAGAATGGAGCTGTTTTGCATTTTACGGACATTTATAGTCACAGAAATTCTGTACATAATTCAACTTTCGAAGTTTGCCCTTGACATTATGGAGATTCTGTTTTCCGACTGGGGTCCAAGAATTAAACATTTCAACTGACTAGGAAGTAAGTGTGTAAAGCGCTGAGAGCAAAAGGCGTTTCACGATATATAAAATCAGACAAGATTACCTAGACAAAAGTGACAACGAAACAGCTTAATGGATTTGATCATAAAAAGCATTAATTATAATCTACTAAAATTCTTTTTTTTTTAATGACGCCGTAAATCTACGGAATTCCCGAGAAACGCAATATAAATTTAGTCTCAATGCTTTAGTAGAATGATACCAAAAAGAAAATATTTACATATGTCGTTGAAACGAAATATCAATATGCACTTGTATTGTGCTGTTCAGTTAACTAACAAATGCATTATGATTTTAACATTTCACCAGTTAAATTTAGAAGTTATTGAATTCTAACAAAGTGATTGTATAGTGTAGTACGTGAGACTGGAATGACCTATGTTTCAATTAATGAAAAATCGTAAATGCATGTTATCGAAAGGTTTCTAAATATGTTTAAAAAGCGCTAATTCAGTTTGCACGCTTTTTGAACTAATCTCAATGTTTGATAAAACTTATCTTCAGACTAGATATGCCATAGATGTAATCAGTAAAAATGTAATAAATGAGCAAAAACGATAGGAATCATTTAAATAAACCATTATTTTGGGGTTAACTTTGAGGATAGTCTAGTAAAGAAAGCTGAAAAACGCATCAAGATAGATAACTAGAATTGATTAATTATTTTATTATTTCTTATAAACTTTACATAATAACGTTGATTTTTACCAAACCAAATCTCCAACTATGATCAAAACATCCCAGTCGATGTGATCTAAAGTAACTGATACATATTCAGCATTATTAATTTAAACACATGTACATGGTACAAGGAGGCACCAAATAGATATGCGTCACATTTCACCGTTCGATTCCTATAAGAGCTATGATAATGCTCGAGCGCCCAAACCGAAACAGGTGGTTTACATAGACACGCCACTCAACAACCCTTTGACACAAACGTCCAATCATCAACACATGGTTGGAACAACATTTATTCCGTCAGGATCCTCCAACCCATGTATACCATAGGTTTAGAATCAGGGTTTTCCAACTCTCCTAGGTAGACCCTCCGCGTTCATTAACCCTGTTAGAGCACCGGGCATTCGCTTTGTGTCCTCTCAACTTCGTAAACAACACGTGTGCAACGAGAAGACAGTGAGTAGAATTTCTCTGACAGTGGTTGTATACGCGTATCCATGTGTGTGTATTTGGAGAGGGATGGTGATCTCTCCCCACCTTCGACCGTATCAGGACATAACTCTTGATTTTACTAAGTATTGATTCGACATCAAGAAAAAATCAATGTTTTCGACAAACAACCGATTTAAAATATCCTTGTCAAATTATCAGCTATAAGTTTTACTTCAAAGAGATAACAAGACAGAAACCACTAGGCCATATATATATAATCTCATAAATACAACTGTATATAAAACAGTTTTCATTTTTCAGAATGCGAAACAAATGGTACCAACAAACAGATTCCTCATTATTTAAGTCACATTTACATATATACATATATATAGTTAAGAGTAGAAAAAAAATCATTGAAACAATCTAAAGCAAAATGAAGTGGTAGCTATGATAATTTTATAGACAATAATCATATGGAGTAGTCATATGACATTTTTGTTTAAATCAACTTATACAATAGCTAAAATTAAAATCTGAAAATGTTTTCAGAAAATAGAAATCTATACCAAAACTTATATATATGAAATTATTTTACTATTAGTAAATCCTATATAAAACACTTTTTCCTTTATAAAATGGTTATTCTATTACAGAAGTCAATATAAAAATAAACGCTACACTATCAATGTAATATATATATATATATTCGGGTGACAAACTTCTCTTATTGTTCACATATTTTCTCTGCATACTTTTATCGTTGACAAGTCAAATTAAAAATTGTTTTTTTTATCACAATCGTTCACAGCACAGAGCACTTGGGGTAAGAATCTACACTTTAAAAAGAAATTAATTTGTTGAGTAATTCTTTTAAATTTAATTTAATGAATAATTCTATTAATAGAATTATTCCTATTAGAAATCTCAAAATAGATGACATCATGAATTCAATACACATGTCGATATGTGAATAGAAAAATATTATTACTTAAAGTAATAATTTGAGTAAAGATTTTTAAATTACAATGTGTGTTCGGGCACAGAGACGATAATGCAATCGGTGTAACCATCCTGAAACATTGACTTCGGTGGCTTGGACATGTTCTACGAATGTCGTCCCAGAGAATTCCACGTCGTGCATTATTTGCCGACACTGTGACTGATTGGAAAAGGCAGAGAGGTGGTCAGTGCATGACATGGTGTCGTGGTATGAAAGAAAGTTACAAAGGGTTGGCTTCTGTCGGTCCTTCACGACTCCCTGGTTGGGGTCTGAGAGATGGTACAAAACAGTGGCTAGGGACGTTATCAGATATGGCTCAGAATAGAAGTCAATGGCGATCATGCTGTAACCTTCTTTTACTTCATAAAAAGTGGTTGCTTCTTCCTTAACTGAAAGATCTCTTCTGATTTTATATTTCCGTTCCCTCATTATTACTACTACACCACCTTACACCAATCTCTTCGTTATTGTTCTCCATTTTTTTACGCTTGTTACTTTTTTTCCCCTTCTCTTTAAATTCTCATTGTTTTGTATGGCGCATATATATTTGGCTCACTCTTGTACCAATATTTATGTGTTCAAATAAATAAATAAATAATAATAATTCAAATATTAAGAAATGGTTCATTTAAAGAATAATACAATTCAATCTAACATCTAAAAATGTGTAAGTATACAATTTAGAAAAAGAAAAGTGCTTAATATAAAGAAAGGTGACTGATTTATTGATGCAAGAAATAAGTACATAATATAGAATCTATGATAACTATAGGTTGTTAGTTGATGAATCTGTTTAAGACAAGTTCGCATTCTGATTTGCCTTCTTTAGCTTGGATAGATGATGAATAGAATTATTACAAAACACAGAAAGTGGGAATCGAAATTAGTTACTTCAGCTTAGAGATTATAAGATCAAGAAATAGCAACACTCCATCACACATCATAATAACGAATATTTAAGCAAACAAAATTTTCCTTTTATGAAGAATAGGTTAAAGCAACAGGATTAACTAACGAAAAACTAATGATAAATATATTTTTGGTTATATCCCGAAAATATATTTATTATTAGCTTTCAACCATGGCGTTGATACTTAAAAATACGACAATAACGAAAAGATAATAATAAGTGTAATAATTATTGGACAATAAAAAAATACGTTTCTTTTAGAATAATGATATATATATGCCTACCTGTGCGGTTTCGAAAGTGAACTCATTATAAAGAAAAAGTTATCTTATGATTTGAATTAATTATGAAACTGACCGAACGAATGAACATGAAACATTATCAAAACCATTAACCAACCTAAACTTTACAATAGAAAAGTAGTTGGATGATTGACTTTGATTTGTCTCACAACAGAATAAACTGATCGATAAAATAATTCTGCTGCTACATGAACTAAACAGAATTTTATAGCACAACCTGTATTTGATATCTTATTTTCTAATCTGTTACGCCGATGAAGCCCCAAAAAGTTCTGGAAAGGTCGAAGGTGGGGAGAGATCACCAGCCTCTCCAAATACCCTCACATAGATACGCGTATACAACCACTGTCAGAGAAATTCTACTCACTGTCTTCTCGTTGCACACGTGTTGTTTACGAAGTTCAGAGGACACAAAGCGAATGCCCGGTGCTCTAACCGGGTTATTGAACATGGAGGGTCTACCTAGGAGAGTTGGAAAACCCTGATTCTAAACCAATGGTATACATGGGTTGGAGGATCCTGACGGAATAAATGTTGTATGAACCTATTGTTGGTCATCGACTACTATATGACTGCATCTCCTAATGTTGTTCCAACCATGTGTTGATGATTGGACGTTTGTGTCAAAGGGTTGTTGAGTGGCGTGTCTATGTAAACCACCTGTTTTGGTTTGGACGCTCGGGCATTATCATAGCTCTTATAGGAATCGAACGGTGAAGTGGAACGCAGATATATATATATATATATATATATATATATATATATATATATATATATATATATAATACTAAACAATGATAACCTATAGCAAAGTTAGCAAAATCAGAAACTACAGTGTAAACCTTAACATCGTTTTATTCAACTTAGTGAAAATGCTGAACTATTGTGTCAATAATACACATCAAACAAAAGGATATAGAATTAGAAAGAAGAAATAGTGATGAACAAATTCATTAGCATACGTTATTATCAAAACAAATAATATTAAAATTTATATATTTTCATATGTAAACCGGAAAATAGAAATAGAAAAAAGGTAAATATAATTAAAACAACTCACAGTTAACTGATTATAGTTTAATCGTAGTACTTCAAGAGCAACAAGTTTATTGATTTCCGTAGGTAATTCTGTCAAATGATTAGAGCCCAAATCCAGTTCAACTAAGGTTTTTAATTCATGCAAGTCTAAGTAAATAAATTTAATGAAGAGAATATTCAAATAACAAATGAACAAGTAGCTTAGAGGATCAATTATTATTTACTATTAGTTAATTATCAGAAGGGGTTTGTGGAGATTTTAGAAATTTTCACAGATTGAAATCATGAGTCAGTTGAAGCTAGACCACCATGGAAAACCTGGAAGCACTGGACGGCCGTTTCGTCCTAGTATGGGACTCCTCAGCAGTGCGCATATACTGAGAAACTTATGCAAAATTCAATACTTTAGTAAATCATTAACGTTAACTTAAAACTAAACGATAGTGCAAATGCAATAGTGGTCTTATTACTAATTTATAGAAAAATAAACAGTTACTACAAAACCACTATTTATTATTATTATTTTATCTAGACACTTTAAAACGAAACTGGGACGGTATTTAACTAACCTGGACCAATTAAACTGTCTAATGCATTATCACGTAAATTTAATTTAATCAAATTTGAAGCCAAACTAAATACAGATTTTGGAATGTTTGTAATTTCATTATGATCCATATTGATAGTCTAAACAAAAAGGAAAAAGGTGAAACAATTTGATAAATCGTCTGGTATATTATATGTATGTATATAAATTTTATTTAGTTTAGAATGTTTCAGAAATCGTACATATAGAGGGAAAAATTGATATTATTACTTAAACACTAGATTTTAGATAAGATCAGAACCTTGTTTTTCAAACAACTACTATGAAGTATTAAACGAGCTAGTCAGTCCCAGATCTATGATTGAAATAAATTCTTTTGAAATTTTGTCAAACAGTAAAGAAATTATTTTAGAAAATACGACTATGGTACATTTAACCATAAAAGACTATACACTTTACAATATCTTAATCATTTTTTTATTGTTGTTGGGAGAAACAATTTCACAATTCATATCACTTTTTAACTACACAATCATAATCAATGTCATTTGTAATTTGCTAAAGATATTGACATTTTTTATTATGTTAATATGATGATATGTAGTAGAAAGTAGAATTCATTAGTTAAAATTTCATTCAACTAGAAATATGGATGTGTTTAATACCAGTTTACTAAATCCAACTGTGATTCATAATTAGAAATCATTTAAATAACGTAATTAAACTTACAAAATTAAAGTAAAACAATCAATTTCTAATTTATTATTTGTACAGAACGTTTTATTCCTTTGAATATAATTCAGTTATTTCTTTTTTCGAATGTCGGAAGACTAAGTAGCTTTGAAGAATTTAGGAAGGCCGATACATTCATGAAAATCCTGTTACAAACTCCATCATGGAACATAGATATTATTCAGACTTTTTAGAGAGTGATGATAATAAACAAGCTATTCAATATATTGTAAAAGATTAACTGTACATATTTGACACATTTAATAAGTTATTCGCTGAAGGAGATGGAGTGAACAAAAATGTGAGATGGATGTCTTCACAAAAAAAATCAATAATTCCCACTGTGATGATGAACTAACTTCTCAGTTAATAGTTCTACAACACAAGAGAGGTTTTTTGAATCAAATTACATTGCCTTTTTACAGTTGGAAATTTATAAATATTTTATGGTACCAACCACTATTTTATTTGTAAGGCAGACGCTGGTTGTTAGAAGACAATATAATGTAGTTCAACAGATTGCTCGTAGACTGAGTAGCTGATTGTTGCGCTGAGCAGAGTTACTGACAAAAATATTAAATTACTTGGTGAGGTTATGATATCTCAAAAACTGAAGAGTTATATTGATTGTTATTACCTAGTATCAATGTTCTAAATTGGCGGTGATTTAGGGTTTGATTCATTTATTGTAGAACAACCGAGTGAGTGATGTTGAAGTTAAACATAGAGTAATAGGTGATGGTTTGCAGATCGAAGAGTGACTAGGACATGCATAACTTATACTCAGACACCATTTGCCATGACGTGTGATCTTATCTGATATAGGCGAAGTCGTAAAAAATCTAGGGGCCGCCAAATCAAGAACTGGTATTGATTCTTAGTCACTGGCTGTTGGTCTGAGCCGTTTTACCAGACTATCTGGTTGGAGTCCAAACGATAATTTGACTAACTGTTACAGATTCAAGATCACTAACAGTAGCGCGGAACTTTTCTTAGTTTATCCCTCGATCCCGAATTTCAATATCTCATATTTCCAGTTTGTAAATTCGTCCATTCTTCTTGAACTAGATTTTCTGTTTTCAACCTTTTATTGGGGACGTTAAACCCCGAAATACAACATTCGGAAGAATACAATTTTAAAATTCACAGACTGTTTTAAAGTGATATTTGTTCGTCAACTTCCAGTAATGATTCATCTTGACTGGTTTTTGTTTGAGTGAAAATGAATTTTCAGCAAAGATAGATGGTGGCTAGCAGTAAAATCCAGAACGTGCGTTTCATCCTATCTATGACTCGTCAGCTGGATGTACCTGCATCCCAGAAATGGTGTCCATTCCGGGACTCGAACCCGTTACCAGTTGCTTCAAACACCATCGCGTTACCCACTTACCTACTGAGTCCTTAAAGCCATTAGCTTATGCAATGGGGTGAAACGTAAATTCATTTTGTATTGTTTGTTTGAATCTTCCCATTGATGTTTAGGATTGCAACTGATTAGTCTCTTATTGGTATATATGCATACTATTCAGATTGCCTCGATATTGCCTTGAGTCACAAGCATTGGGAACAAAGATGAGTGGTGGAGTGAAAATCAACTTTGGAATGCAGGTACATCCAGCTGACGAGTCCCAAATAGGACGAAATGATTCCACTGCTAGCCACCATCCACCTTTGTTTCTCATGCTTGTGACAGGATGCATGTATGTCAATAAGAGACTGATCAATTGCAGTCCTAAACGTCGATGGGAAGATTTTTAAAAAATATACAAAAAGAATGAATTTTCAGTTCTATTAATTTATTCAATACAAAATTAGTTATTCGACATTTTCATTGCATTGAAAAACTCATTGCGATTTTGTGCTCAAGTGACAATTGCTCAGTCTGACAGATTTAGTAATTAATAATCACTGAAGAATCGATATATAATTGAATAAACTTGAGTGTAAATCGATTATTTCAAGGTCTTCATCAATACATATTCCTTAAAAGTTTTCTCTTCCCTCTATTCCATAGTGCGAAGGAATAACAGTGTATTAAATATGCGGTTCATCCAGTTAGCATATAAGAATTACCCGGACGCACGTCAGTTGAAATTGCCAAACTCAAACTCATATTACATCTTCTAACTACCACTGATTTTACTGCTACTTTCATCATTGTATTCGTGTTTATAATTTCATCTCTCTGTAGCATTGATGTAGTAAATCGGACTGATGCATATTTGTACCAGGTTTCACTTTGCTTATCACCACCAACTAAATGACAACCTGAAAGCTCCTTAATCATACTTTTCTACAGAGTAATTAGGTTGTATCAAATCTAATGATTAGACTTTGTAGTTTTCGTAACATCTATGATAAAAGTAGGACATGGTGGGCACATAAAACATTCCAAATGTAAATGCAAATAATTCTTTTAATTAACGGGACTTGATATTACTCTCCATAATTTTTTCTATTTGAGCCATAGCTACCAGCTTTTAACATATTACAAATAAGATCATTCTTCCGAGTACTGATATAATGTTTTTCATTCATTTATTTTGCTGATAAGACATTTTGAAATACAGCTACAGTATACTTCAGTTAGATGTCAATAGTACGATCCAGAATAACAGATGGTTCCAAGGGCACACATATATAAAATTTCATTGTTATTGCGATCATAGAGGGCTCTTATTCGGCATGACTGACTGATTGTGATAATTAGAAAAACAAATTCTAAATAAATACATATCCTCGGTAGTTTGTATTTATCAGACTTTAAAATTACAATCCATATACCAGTTTTCTATGTTCTACTAATTACAAAGGCTAAATAATTCTGAATAGATATTTTAAATTCTACTTCTAAAGCGTAGTAAGAAACTACTGTAAATAAGTATTTCCTCAAAAACTTGATTATACAACGATTAATTATTACTAATCCCAGTTGCTATAAAGGGTTTTAAACAAAATCAGTACACTTAATTCATCAATAAAAATTACCCTATCATTGTTAAACAATTATGCATTCAATAACTCATTGAAAGAGTGCAATGGATGGAGCTTACTGACAACTGTAATAAATTAAACGAAAATCTTTAAACCGTTAGTCCTAAAAAAATGCATAAACACTGTGGCATATTTTCAAATAATTTCACTGCTAGTTGTATGATTTGCAAATTATGAATTTTAACGGGTTAATTATAAATATAAACATTAATAATAGGATACGAAATGTGAAAAATATTCACCTTAGTGTAATTCCTTAACCGAGTTCCAAAGAGGATGCAAATACAATACAATATGTACGAATACTTTTCTAACATATAAACTTCAGTAATCTTATTGACAGTTCTGAGATCAATAAAATATTTTTAAAAAGTTTAATAATAAATAGGAACATTTGAAGATGTAAAAACTTGTGTGCAACAGATAGAATCACGGAATATATATCAGGACTCTAAACATACAGTTGACCTATCACGTTTTCAACACTGAGTTCATTAATGAAAACCATTGTCTAAATGATATATAGTCGAATATCCTGTTGATTCTACATACCTGGATACTAAAGTTCTCCTAATTAGCTAGTTTTGGTAGTACACTACTACTACCATCATAAAAAAGAAACAGATATTTATAAACTGTTGTCCCCATAAAATACTCCAGATTCGTTCGCCGAATACTATCAGCAACAACTTATTATAGCAGAGAACAAACCAGCACCCATCTGAAGAGGAAATAAGGAAAAAACGTTGGAGGTGGATAGAGCACACATTACGAAATTCATCAAACTGTATCAGCAGGCAAGCCCTAACTTGGAATCCTCGGAGTAAAAGAAAAAAAGGCAGACGAAGAAACACATTGCACCGGTAATTGGAGGGAGACATCAAAAGAATGAATAGAGCTTACGGACAACTAGAAAGCCCAGAACAGAGTTGGTTGGATAATCCTAGTCGATGACCTATGTTCCATTAGGTGTAACAGTCGTAAGTAAATAGGTGAGTAAGAACACACATTATTTGGACTATTACTAATACCAGTAGTGATAACAAAAGATAACTTACATAACACATCTGAAATTGTTGTGGATCACCAGAGGGAAAGTTTGTAAAATAATTTCTTGACAGGGTGATATTTAGTAGATTATGTAAACATGATAGCAAATTATTCTGTTGGAGAGATAAATAAAACAATATCGTATAAATTCGTAAATAAGACTCTAATTTTAACAGCAAACAGTTATTATTATAATCATCTTAAAATATATATACGGCGATAATATGAAAAGCTTTCAATAGAACATGCACAAACTACAAATCAGAAACAGAGAAAATTATTTATGGGATGACTTGTGAAAACCATACACATCAATGTGATGTATATTACACTCTTAAATATAAACAATAAAATGAATGTCATTGACTTACAGGAAGTGAAGACAATTGGTTGTTTTCCACATTAAATTCGTCAAGTTTCACACAGTTAGCTAGACTTGCCGGAATTTCCACCAACTGGTTATATCTTTAAAAGAAAAGAAAAAACCTATCTGTTATATCTATATATTACTTTCCTTACGCATGTTATCCCACCTCGAGGAGCATAGGCCATTCACCAACATTCTCCATCCAACTCTGTCCTGTACAATCCTTTCCAGTTCTTCCACTTGCTATTCATTCTTTTCATGTCTGCTTCCAATTCTCGACGTAGTGTGTTAATTGGCCTTCCTCTTTTCCGTTTCCCTTCAGGATTACAAGTTAGCGCTTGCCTCCAGATGTAGTCTGATGATTTCCTCAATGTGTGTACTATCCACTTACAAAGTCTTTCCCTAATTTCCTCTTCAACTGGAAGCTGGTTTGTTCTCTCCGACAAAAGGCTTTTGCTGATGGTATCAGACCAACAAGCATTCAGTATTTTGCGTAGACAGTTGTTTATAAATAATTGCACCCTCTTCATGACAATTGTGGTAGTTCTCCACGTTTCAGTTGCTTACATTAGAACTGTATTGATATTCGTATTGAAGATTCTGACTTTGGTATTGATTGACAGTCTGTTTTGAGTGGTGTATGTTCTTCAACTGTGGGAATGCTGTCCTTGCTTTGCTAACCCTCACATTTACGCCTGCAGCGGATTCTTAACGTTCATCGATGATGCCACCCAGATATGTGAAACTTCCCACATCTTACAGAATTTCTCCAACAAGTGCGACTAGGTTGGTGTTCTCCATGTTGTGTTTCAGGATCTTACTTTTAGCCTCGTGTAGGTAGCCTTGTCTGTCTCCGGTCCTTACTTGGAATGCGTCTATCAGCTGCCCTCCATGCACCACTTCGCAGGGTAGTCCGTCGTATGAATTCCAAATGATGTTGACGATTTTCTCAATTACTCCATTGTGTGGAAGAAGTTTACATAATATTGTCCTATCCATACTGTCAAATACTTTCTCATAATGAAGTAAGTTGATGTATCACGACATGTTCCATTCAATTGGTTGTTCAACTATGATCGGTAGTGTCATGATTCGGTTTGTGCACGACCGATCCCTACGGAATCCAGCTTGTTGATCTTGAAAGTCGGGTGTCTACTGAAACTTTCAATTGGGTCGGCAACACTCTGTTGAAGACCTTTCCTGGTACTGACAGTAGTGTGACACCTCTATAGTTTTCACATTTGCTCAGATCTCTTTTCTTTCGTATCACGATGAGTTACCCTTCTTTCGGTCCGCTCAAATCATCCTAAATAGAATGTGGAGTATCTTCGCAGTTACTTCAATATCTGACTCTACTGCTTCGGCTGGTATATTATCAGGTCCTGCTGCTTTCCCACTCTTGATTTGTCCGATTGTCAGAATTTCTTCACCACTTGTTGTTGGAGTAACATTTATAGGAATATCTGTAGGTGCTGCTTCGATATCCAGTGGATTCAATGGAGCTGGTCTCTTTAAGAGTTTCTTGATGCATTCTACCTATCTGTTCCTCTGTTCTTGAGTTCCAGTGACTGGCTCGCCCTCTTTGTTCTTGACCCGTCTCTCTGGTTTACTATGTCTTCCTGTCAGTTTCTTCGTCGTGTCATATAGTTGTTTCATATTTCCTTCTCTTGCATCATTTTCCGCTGTTGTTGCCAGCTTTTCCACGTATTTCTGCTCGTCGGCTCTAATGTTCTCCTTCACTTGCCTGTTTGATTTTACGTATTCAGCTTGTTTCTTAACTTTCTCTGTTCTTGTTCGGCTGTTGTTAATTGCTGTGCTCCATTTTTGCTTAATTTCAACATAGACCTGAAATAAACATTCTTATCGTCTGAATTTTCGGGAATTGATCTCATACCAGCTGGTCCATTTATTGACTCAGAATACGCAGATGACATAATCGTGTTTGATGAAGACGCTGATAAAATTCAGGCTTTTGGTAGTGCTAAGTAAGAATGTCAGGATGTTTGGGATGTGTTTCTCCCCCTTTAAATGCAAATTGTTGCTTCAGGACTGGCTTGTGTCAATTCCTAAACTAAGGATAGAGAGTGAAGTAGTCGAACATATTGACAGCTTCGATTATCTTGAAAGCCTAATCAGCTTTAATGGGTTGGTTTTTGACGAAATCTCTTCACGGATTCAAAAAGCTAGTTTGATATTTGCCAACTTACGTCATCTACGACGAAGGCGAGATATCCGTCTATCAATTAAAGGATAAGTATACTGAGTAGCGGTTCGTTCTATTTTATTTTACGGATGCAAAACATGACCATTAATGATGGAAGATACCCAAAAGTTACTAGTATTTGATAATAGATGTCTTAGAAATGTTGCTCGCATCTGTTCGGGTAGGTAATATTGAGGTTAGACGCAAGGTATTAGGGAATTATGTTAAATCAATTGATGAGGTGCTGAATCTTCATCGACTGAGATGGTTAGGCCACGGATTACGCATGCCCAGCCATAAACTACTGTGACGTGCAATGCTGATTAGTGTTGGAGACGGATAGAAGAAAGTTAGAGACGGCCAAACCAAAATGTGGGACCAGTACATAATATCACTAACTTCTGGTATGAGCCATGTTGGTAGATGTAGATTACTTGGTTGGGGTCCGCGTGACTATCATAACCAGTGGTTAGAGGCTCTACCATTGTATGATAAAATATACCGGGCACTAAGACATGAGACCAGTGACTTGAAATGCAATGGTTCATATTTCCAACCTTAATAAATCCGTGGTATGGTACGACAATCATCCAATATCAAGTCGTTGACTAAATGCAACAAACACTTCAAACCTGCCAATAAATGAGGATTACTCCATGTTATCAATGTCTATAACCACACATTGTACACTTTACGTAGGAAGATCTCTATAATTTGTACTGCTAGTTATTTAGTCCTTCCATAGATATAAGTAGTCAAACATCTGCTTCGGTTGCAACAAAGTCAGTCAGCTACAACGTAGGACCAGGCACATATATGCATCGGTCCAGGTTGCCATACCGCATTAGCACAGCAAGATGAACACCGGATTCATGGGAGTGGTTAGGTCAAATGTGGTGGTATATAGGAGAAAGATTGCATATAAAGATACAGTATAGGAAGAAAGAATTAGTTAGTAGAAAGAAAGATATGAAGTGATTTTAATCTCTTAGTTTAAGGGAAGACAATGAGTGTATACACCTACGCCATTGCAACAAATGCAACCTTTAATTTACATCGAATCTTCAAGCGACGATAGTGAGATACAATTTTGCTTAAAGTTGGAAGAAAATATTCACAAACCCAATATTAAGTGTCTGGAACACTCACATAGAGACTAAAACAAAACCTATTTGGTAAGAAAAAGACCTCTTTCATCTAAAGTACATATAGTGGTAATTACGTTGAGGTGAGCAATGAGTTTTTCCCCAGTAAATATACGAACATAAGTGAGTGGTAAACAATTTGTAATGCTTTCAAAGCAATTTTGGGTAGCCCTCGAAAGCCTTTTTTGAGTGAAATATATAACGCTGGACACAGTAAGCTAATAATGCTCGGCGGCTCCCTATATTCGATCACCGTCCTCCCCGAATCACTGAGTGAACCTAATGAGAGCATCGTGTAAGTAACATAGAGTTCTGATCAGTGAAGTCATTTACAAACATAGGTCTCAGAACCTTCGATATATATATTATACACGAAATCCCAGAAAATTCCACACTAAGAACCAATTTCCGGTGATTAAAGTGAATGAAAAAACATAACAAGCTTTTACAAAACGAAAATTAATTGGGTCTCCCTAACACTCAATAGTTCATTAAGACTCCCAAGACTGGGCCTCTACAAATAATTTATTCTAGTGACTATATAAATGGCTCATAGGAGGGACCAACAGAAAAACTTGTGTACTGTTGCTACATTTTTCGTAACAATTAAGGCTTTTTTCAGAAAAAGTAAAATTAATTCTCATTATTCTCTTAAGTTTACTCGACTTTCTTCTTTCCTAAACTCTTACTTATTTTACGTTTTATTTTTTTCAATACCACCTTGGTATTAAGCAATATGTCATTCATTAATAAACAAGTGAATATAATGACTGACAGCTAAGCGAATAACAAAATGAAAGGAGAATTAGTGTACAACACTCACTTGATAGATAATCTACATAAGTTTACCAGATTTCCTATGCTGTCAGGTAGTTTTGTCAGTTGATTATGTTGAAGATTTAGATCGCGTAAAGATGTACACTTTCCGATACCTGAGTAATTTTTAAAATATAAAAACACCGTTAAACATTGATGATTACATAACTATAGATAAAAGTAAACATTGAAATACAATAAATTTCAATATATTTAGGTGCTTATAAAAAAAATCTTGATGAATTTAGTTAAAGACGGGATAACGTGAGATTAGGACAAATTTTTTGTAATCCTTATACACATAACCAAGAACGATCGTAAGGAATAGTGTAAATTCATTTATTTCGCGGACGATCTTCAGCTCTTTGCAGGCAAAAAATAGTAGTGCATTATATTTCGAGTATCTTTTCGGGTAGTAAATTATTCTCTAAATGATAAACTCTTCTTCATTCTTGCATCCTTTCTAAACTTTATTTATTTTACGCTGTCAACCTATTCATTTTAACGATTATTACTACTTAACTTTGTCAGTAGTTTTGTTTTTCAGAAACTTCTATCTATGTTTTAAGATTTCGTTCTTGAATTCGTACATCAGTAAACATATAGATAATCATATGTTAAGAAACTGTTATAATTCTTCCATACTCATAATTACTTTAGTAATTTTCATAAATATATACTTTCGAAAAATCAAAACTGTTTCAAGGTTGTAAACAGATGAAGAGAATTCACAAAATGGATGAAATCATATTATTCTGTCACGACGGTTTTTTTCTTTATTCAAATTTCAGCTTTTCTGGATCACTAACCTAAGTCCTATGAACGATATACTCAGCAATAATCGCCCATAACTATTAAACACCATGGTGCTGCAGCTACTCCCACTCTATGTGGTAATTATAGATCTAGATTATATTCAATGCATAGTTCCACACAGTATATAGTGATATGAATGAATGGTTTGATCGCACAAAGTTCAGTAAGTATCCTGCAGCCTGGATTCAATGCAATCAGGTAACCCAGCCAAGTAGTCAGGCACTAGCTTCCATCCGGATGAGTACAGGTCACAGAACCCAACGCACGCGAACATGAGTTTGTACGTAAATTTGGAAAATATAGATATAAAAATGAGAACAGATGATAGCCAAGACCTACTTCACCTTAAATATATTGATATAACTCATTTCAGAAAGTGAATAAAAAACACTGCAAGTACATTAGTTTTCGCTGCGACCTCCTGACCAGTAGTTACGCATTGTATATAGAATTTATTATGTACTAAAAGTTTTTTCTATATAAACCTGACCGAGTTGATTAGATATAATATTATGGTTAATGAGTGAATGTGCAAGATATAGATTTTGGATTCTTATTATTTTTACAAGAATCTACTTTGAGAATTGCTTGGGATGACAAGGAGCTTATAATCCTGATTTACCTTGTCACGATCAAAACTAGCAAACTGTGTTAACAAAGTTGACAAGAAAGTATGGTATAACATAAGTATTAATTAGTATAAAATGAATGGCTAATGTGACTGGTTTTTGTTCAAACTAATATGGGCTCCTCTTTAGTAGAAAGCTTAAACGAACAAATTTCTTCAATCTTAACAGCTTGATACACGTTATGTTCGCAACAAATCATCACTGAAGTGTCTGTAAACCATTTATGACACTAATGTGTTGTGTATTTTTGAGTTAGCATTCCGATACGAGCTCTTGAATCAGTTCTTAATGCACACGTTCAGTAAATCAAAAACGAACTGAGTAAACTGTGTAGAAAACCTTATTTCTAATATAACTAGCACGTAGAACTCATAGGTGGATAAAATTATCCACATCCTATTAGAGTGGGCGTTGACCTTTATCTCGGTGACTAATTCATTCGTCCGAGATTTCTCATTTTCACACCCACACTTGTAGTGACTCATCATACAACGTAAGCATGCCACGTGATTTTGGCAAACTCTATTTCAGATCAGGTTGATATATTAACCAAACTTCTTAAAATATTTCCATACAGGTTACGATCGACTAACAAACAGCATTCGAATTAACTTAGAGAAACGTTTTTCTAAGTCTGTTAATTATAAAAAGATATCAAAGGCTTTAGATGTGAATGAAAGGTGAACTCTAACTTAATAAATATGCAATTTTGGTGTACTAAGTTGAAATTTAGTCACAATATGGAGCCTGGTACGTACGTATATCAGTTCAAGTAGCCGTACTTCTTTAGCAGAAAGAGATCAAACCATCAAGCCAAGTCCCAGAATAGTAGAGGTCGTGACAGTATGAATGTTGACTGAAAAGATTAGACATCGAATATACGATTCAAGAAAATATAAATTAGTGAGATAAAAGCACAAAAACAGATATGAAGAATTCAAAATCTCAGAATTTGGAGGAAGGCAAAGAATGCACCACTGCAAACGATTCTGAACGATATCATTCAAAGTCTCTAACCACTTATTTCGATAATCACGCGGACCCCAACCAAGTAGTCTTCACCTATTAACATGGCTAAGTTTAATTGTCAGTGACTTTATGGAGTGACGACATGTTTTGATTTGGCCTCCTTAACTTTATTTCAGATTAAGTTGAAAGATCAATGACTTATTTTTGTGACATGGCTTAACACGAAGATTTAGTTTTTTAACGCTAGGTGGTTCAGAAAACTTGGCGAAAATCTCGGAATGTGGAAACGTTAGTCAACTGATTCACAACTTATCATTAATATTATTATGGCTAGTAGAGAAATTATAAAAAAACATTTTATGGGTAGAAAAAAGCCTGTGAATCAAAAGTATTCACGAGATAATAAGTAGCCACTGAGTTGATGATGATTTTAGAGTTTAATTTTCTCAGTTGTACGGTTTATTCGTGATGTTTTTATTCTTCTGCTGAACTACGTCATCAACACAAAATTCGAGTAGTGTGCCATTCGAATTCATTCATATGTTATTAATTTTATTCTGTCGACCTCTATCTTAGTTGGTTAATGTTAACTTTTATTTTGTCATTATATGAGCGTTTATTTTGACTGTGTTGCCTTATGGCTTGCTTGATTCTTGATGCTATATATTTACATGACTTCAAACTCGCTTGATAAATTGGGTTTTTGTCATGTTTTTATTGACTTTTGATTGAAAACACTCATTAGGTATTTTTCCTCATTTTTCCGTGCTGTAAGTAGGCTGCCATTTATTTTCGCTCTTTTCATTAGATCGTACGTAGTTGGCTTCATTAAATCTTGGATTATTGCTACTTTAGTTGAGAGTTTGATCTGTGTAAGTGGGCTAACGATACACCTGAGTCTCCGGTTTTCCTATGTTGGTTCTGACGATTAACAAATCCAAGAACGATGGTTTGTTAATCAACTCATTCTCCATTTTGGATCGTATTTTGTTGAAAACCAAAGAATATTTAGAAGCTTGGGACTCAGGTCAGCCAGCAATCAATTAACACATCGATCCAGTTTATCAATCATTTATCAAGCAAGTATAAAGTCATGTAAATATATAGCATCAAGAATCAAGCAAGCCATAAGGCAACACAGTCAAAATAAACGCTCATATAATGACAAAATAAAAGTTAACATTAACCAACTAAGATAGAGGTCGACAGAATAAAATTAATAACATATGAATGAATTCGAATGGCACACTACTCGAATTTTGTGTTGATGACGTAGTTCAGCAGAAGAATGAAAGCGTCACAATTGAAGCATCCAGCTTAAAGAACGAAACTTCACTATAGACAGAGTATTTAAGCGAAACGTTTGGTCAGTGGATAAATAAAACATATTGCTTACTGTCAGGTAAGAAGGTGATATGATTAAAGGATAAATCCAATTTTACCAATTTCGTTAGTTCACCGATAGAACTAGGCAAATCTTGTCGAATCAAATTACGGCTTACAACCAATACAGATAAGCGCTGAAACGAACAAATAAATATCGAAAAAATGACGTTTTAGTGTTGTTTATAAGGCAACTTATCGAAAACGTTAAAATTCTGGCTTACTTTGTAATGTATCTTACTGTGGAGCCCAGAAGTCCTATGCAGATTTATGTACTGAGGTTTGAGTCAACCCATTAATATAAAAGTTAACGGTATGTACCAACTTCACAATGAGTGTGAATTTGCAACTTTACGCATAGTCTTGGTTGATAGTAAATATCAACAGTACTGTCCTTCCTTATCAAACTAATAGTAAAATTATGACTGCTATACGATAGCTAAATGAGCGAAAAGATGCTGCGAAACTAACTAATGAACGAACACATTAGCAAAAAATGATAAAACTGACGACACAGAGCTTGGATTTTGTAGTTCTAGAATCCCCACACGGTATGTAATAGAAACTAAAGGACATATAGTAGTTATATATAAATGAGTGAGATTAGCGAATGTTTTATATTTGAGCAGTGGATGAATTGATGCGAAATCGTCAAAATGTACATGTTTAATACCAAAAAATAATAATATAACCTGTATATGGAAGAAATCACTTTGGCTCAGAATATTTAGACACCTAACTTTACATGTAAATTTATCTATATCGCTTAATAGCAACATTCCGAAACTGATAAGATATGAGGTCCGTAATCACATATTAATCCCACAGGGTAAACCATAAGATTAGTTTTCAAACTAATTGTTAAGCTACACTCAATAAAAACAAGTAAGTGAAACGAATAACTCACTTTTAAATATTTTATTTCGTCTACAATATGGGTTAATTTGTTGTATGTTAGAAGTAAATGTTCCAAGTTATATAAACCACATATACATGTAGGAAGAGGACCATCCAAACGATTGTAACGTAGATCTAATTGTTCCAGATTAATCAGTTTCGTTATTTCATTTGGTATGCCAGATGCTGTTAACCAGTTTTGTTGCAATAGCAGTCGTTTTAGATTTGTCAAATGACTGATACTGCTTGGTAATGTGGTTAATTTGTTACCATACAGGAATAAATCTTTTATAAAGGATAAATCTTTGAAAATTGCATTTGGAATCTGTTGAAGATTCATATTAGAAAAGTCAAGGTAGTCGTTATGGGACTCTCGACATTGAGCAACTTCCTTGCTAATATCCTGAAACAAAGAGATCGGTATTTTACAAAAATCTGATTTAAGCCTAAAACATGATGAAAAAATAGTCACATGAATACACAAATTAGCGTCGACTCACAATATACTATACAATACTTTTGAAAGGCTCAAATTGGACTTGATGGTTGCATTGACTGTTTAGATAAAATACGTCGACAAAATGATATGAAACAATCGCTAGAATTTAACAATTCTACACAATGGACGCTACCTTATTTTTCCTGAGTTTAGGTACACGACTACAAAACTTAGTTGGAAATAACCCTAACTAGAAGATTGTTCCAAGCCACTAAAGACGAGATGCCAAGAAGGATAAATAACTTCGGAATAACAGCTGAAATAATAAAAATATTATGCAAATATATCTTCCATAATTTAAGAAGTCTAATTGTAGTATGATGTAACGATGCGCTTAACTTTTTCATCTCTATGAGACTGAATCTAAAAGGTTAATCCTTGTTTCCCTTCATGATGCATCGTTCTCCAGTCTGTATTATTGATTGGTCTTGGTTAGACAAACTCTGGAAGCCAGGAATCACAAAACTTTCGTCTGAATGTAGAACACATCAGCAATACGCCAACCCTACTAGGTCGTACGGTGTAATATTTATTTATTTGAACACATAAATATTGATACAAGGGGGCACCAAATATATATGCGCCACACAAAACAATGAGAATGTGAAGAGAAGAAAGAAGGTAAGGTGCGTATAAGGAAAAAAGAAGAACAATAACGACCGAAGATTAGTGTAAGATAATGTAGTAATAATAATAAAAATATTGATAACAATAGTAATGTGGAAAACGGAAAGGTACAGCCAGAAAGAATTCTTTCAGTTGAGGAAGATACAACCACTTTTTATGAAGAAAGTAAAAGAAGGTTACAGCAGGATCGCCACTGGCTTCTATTCTGAGCCGTATCTGATAACGTCTCTAGCCACTGTGTTGCACCATCTCTCGGACCCCAGCCAGGGAGTCGTGAAGGACCAACAGAAGCCAGCCCTTTGCAGCTTTCTTTCATACCACGACAATATGTCATACACTGACCACCTCTCCGCTTCTTCCAACTAGTCCCAGTGTCGACAAATAATGCACGACGTGGGATTCTCTGGGATGACATTCATAGAACATGTCCAAGCCACCGAAGTCGGTGTTTTAAGATGGTGACACCAATTGAGTTATCATCTCTGTGCGCGAACACACGATGCCGAACCTCTGGATTACTAACATGGTGTTGCCACTGGATGTCAGCAATCCTTTGTAGACAACGATGATCAAACACAGAGAGTCGTCTAACACCCTCAACTCGGAGAGGCCAGGTTTCACAAGCGTAGAGTAAAACCGCTCTCCACGACGCGTTGTAGATCCGACCTTTTACAGCCAGACTGATATCACGAAGGCGCCGAAGATGGCTCACTATACGTGAATTTATCCCATCACTCAGGCCACCACCAGCACTTATGCAGCTACCTAGATGCACGAACTTCTCGACTACTTTTGTCTTTTCACCATCCATGGGAAAACAAGATTAGAATCCTATCAGTCTTGTAGAAGTACTTTGCACTTAGAAGGTGCAAAACACATAACGTACCAACGGTGTGTATGCTTCTGTCTATCTGATATTTTGACTCGTACGTGTTCCAGAGTGAAAACTATATATGGACCTAGTATATTACATTGTAAACATTTAATTAAATAGTTCCAACTTACAAATGATAATTACGGGTTCACACTTCAGACATTAACTACTAATCAGTAACATTACGAGGCGATATGTCGGGATTCAGTTGTAAGGGTCGAATATGTAGTCAGCACTGATCTTCCAGTTGCCTACCACAGTAATAGTTCAAACTTACCCCGTAAATATCAACATAAAGATATAATAACTCCGCATATGGATTTACTGAAGGCCCATTTCAACCTCTGGAGATTCCAACACTTTGGTTTCGCCTTACAGAAATAACAATGATGAATTCCTACCATCTTAATCTCTACTTTTCGAACCTGTCCCATCATCTCTTAAATATTCGATCCCTATATAACATATGTAGTCTAACACATATTAGATATAGTATTTGAAACATCAAAGCTATCAAAATACTTCCGTAGTCAATGATCAGACGACCTTGTAAATGCAAACAAAAGCAGTGACTATAATTTATGCACGACCTTTGAGCGACACCAAAAGTGGCCTTGAGAATGTCCACCTACTGATTAGGGCTAAATAAGGGTTATAAGTCTGTGTGAAGTATAAGAATTGCGATTTAAATTTGATGGTTAGGGATAGAGATTAGACTCAGGGTTTTCATCACGAAATGACATTAGCTAAAGCGCTAAGATATTATTTAGTCAAATGGACAAAAGAATTTCGAGTCGAAGACCCGCTATCGTTAATCTAATTATTTCGTCCATAAATTAGTCTCGCCGCAAAAGCCGTTGGTAAAAGTTACCCACCCTAAAAGAAGTATTTGTCGAGATCGACATTCCATCAGACAAAAATGTATATAAAAAAATGAGAAGTCTCAAGTTGTTTAAAATTTCGTCTACGCGGACTGGGGTAACAAAGGGTCAGCAAAAATTATACAAAACTTACGGGAGGTTTTGCTTTCTTCATACTGTGTTTTGACACAACTTTGAACAACTTTCCATCATGAGGTTGGACAAAGACAGCCTTTTTGCTGATATCTGAACCGCGTCTTCGACTACTAAGACGAATTCCATGTTTAGAATCCTTCACCATACATTTCGGACTAATGTCTAACATTCCAGTAGTGCGTGAAGCCTCGTGAATTTGGAAATATGGGTCACTATCGATATCGTTAGAAACTGAAGGACGTGAAACATCAACAGATGAAGGATTCTCGTCAGAATGACTCTGATGCAGTATCTTTGAAATTCCTATACACATCGAATCCATATAGTTATCACCAGAAGGCTTATGATTACTAGTCATTGTGAATCAGAAATACCGATTTCGAAACAGCCATTAAATATTTATTTTTATATATGACAAATAAGTCCAGTTCGTCTACAGTAAATAACTCAAAACTTTGCGAAACTATAAGATCCCGGAAATCATCATTATAAGAGTGACCCTGAATTTGTATGACCTACCTAAAGATCAAGGCTGAAGGCTCGATAAACACAACTTATTGAGAACTCAATTCAGATTCCAAGATCAAAAAATATTTATCATCCTCGAGCCCATCGAATGAGGAATTTTATGGAATATACGATTTTGTTGAAATGGGAAGAGATTTTAACAGAATAAATTGACAAAATGTTTCCAGATCTGGGTAGAAAGGAAAGAAAAACAACGGCCTGTGTTGTTCCTTTTCTAGTATGCTTCTGTGAATATTTTGTCTTCTCTAGAATGAGTCAGTTGAGGGCGCTAGCACCACTACTTTTGATAGAAAGTTCCGAGAATTAGTGACTCATTGTAAAAACCTGTATACCACCGCTAATATGTTCGTTCTTAGCTTTTCTACTCACCTGTCATGTACTCTGAGATGTCCGGATATGGTGAGAAGGAAAAGAGAGGATATATCATATCCAAAATCATCTCTTAATAGGTTATATATCAAAATCAAGTCACCTCTTCATCTGCGGTACGACAGAGAAAAGAGGTTGTAGCGGTAAATAATTCCCCAAATTAAATAGCTCTAAGTTTTCGACATTAGATGCTGACCATATTTTTTAGTGGACTCATCTAGCTGAAGGCGCTCGGTCATGCATCCGCACCAGATCACGTGTGGTAACGCCGTGCTCAACATCAACTGCAATCGCTAGCCAGATTAGATCAGAGAATTTCGATATATTGGCTATCGCCAAATACACTCTTCCGATCTCCTCGACTCTGTCTTTGGATTTCTCTGGGTGGGAACGAAATATATTAGAAGGTTTTACTGATAGAAGCGTTGTCAAACACTGAATACCTGTGACATCATCAAGGTCTAGCTTTTCAAGCCGCTGATTTATGGTAAACCCCGGAGTCTGGAATTACACGGATAGCCTCCATCTGTACATTTTCCAGGTTATCCAAGTTACTTTTCAAACATGGAATTGCATCCTGAAAACAGTTTTCACGTTTAGTTTTCACATGACTGTATATACTTTAATGAACTTTGAAGTATCTAACCTGGCGAATGTCTAACTGTCCATCGTTTTCAAAAACCTTATATGAAACCTCCTGGTAGGGGGCCTTGGTATTATGATCATGACTCACTGTCACCCCATGATCCTTGTGGGACCAAACCACGGGTACAGACACTTCCTCTATGCTGTATCTATTACCTTTGTATCTTCAAAGTGTATGTAGACAAACCGCCGCGCTGATAAGCATCAGCCACTCTTTATAACGGCTGATCACAATATTTATGTCTGCCTGAAGTTCGCATGCACCCGCGTCTTCTATTATTTTTAACCATATCTTGACATCATCAGCCTATGGTAACATTGAAAGCCCAACTATACTCATGAAATCACTTACATACAGTGTAAAAAGTAAAGGACATGGGACAAAACTTTGTGGTACTTCACTAGGTACTGGTCACCAGGTGGAGCACCTCGAATTCGCTCTTACTTTTGTCTACGCCCCACTGAAGCTTTTTTATGAGAGGTCCGGCAATGCATATGTTTTCTAATTTCAATAACATTATTTGTTAGCACCTTATCAGATGCTTTGCCGAAGACTGGGTAGACATTGATTTGCCATTGTCTAGAGACTTCATCGATTGCTCCCTTGCTACAAGGAGGTTTGTTGTGCAAGATCAACCCATGTTGTTCTCCGTTTAACAAGTTGTTGGTTTCCAAGAACGTCATTACGGTCTTTCCAACTATTATTTCCAGTATTTTAACTATGGCATTGGTAAGGCTGACAGATTTGTAGTTTGATGAAAGTTGTCTTGGTCCTGTTCTGCATTCTGGAGTGACGATTTCATCTTTCCAGTCGGCGCGTAATACATGTTAGCTAAGTGATATACTGAATATCCAGTCAGTGATGCTGAATATATTATGTAATCCGTCTCAGGATTTTCGGGTGTGGTTCATCCGTTCTTGTTGACTTTACCGTGTCTAAAGTGCTAAGAGTTTTGATTACATCATCTCGGCCAAAGTCCACAGTGAGCAGATGGTTTGTTGGGTTTGTATTTGTGTATAGTTCTTCGTCTAGAAGAGGCTCCTGAGTGAAAACTGCCATGAAATTATTTCTTATAGCCTGTGCATTTTTCTCACCATACTCTATCACTTCAGATCCATTAGGTTGTGAATCCAAGGCTTCATCCTTATTCTGTAATTTATGTACGAAAATAGTCTCTTAGAGTGCTTTATTATAGATTGTACCAACTGGACCTCATATTTTCTCTGGACTTCCCAGATTTTTAACTATGAGTTTATTTCTTATCGACCGTAGTTGTAATGACTTGACTGCAGATTAGACGTCAGCGTATTATCGATCGGAACAATGACGCGTAAAACCGTATGAGCAGCCTAGAGTTCTGGTTGGTCCTGCTTTCCGCCTAGCCCAGCTAGGCAAGCCCAGAACACAAGTCTCAGCCTCTGCGATATGAATCATGTATTTCAAACATACTCTGTTTATATACCAATCAAGCAGACCACATCGTACCATAAAATAGAAAATAACATTCGTACAATATTTGGTCAACAGGAAAATGAAACGTGAAATAAATATTGACTAATTGGAAAATGATACCATCTCAAGTCCAAGAATAGCATTAGACTTAATAGAATAATTTTTGGAATATTTTCCTGAATATCCCAAAAACAGTACTTTTCGTGCTTAAATTGATAGTAACGTTTCGACACTTTGTTCTAGTAAATGTCAAATATCCCGGCCCATCCAGGAATGTCTGTGCTGCTTTATCTTTGGGACTGTACAGGGTATGTGTTATCGAGTACCTGTTGTATAACTGCCAGGAATAAGTCTATGCATCGACCACTGATGCCACGAAGTAAATTATCTAGTCTACAGCCGATGCTGAAAAGTTTATGGCCTCGATGTTCACCTTCCATAAAATAGGACGTTCCGGCACATCTATTTGACAGGCTATCTCAGCCATAAACTTGAATACGATGACTGTATGATCACTCCTCTTTGGAGGTAGGAGGAAAGTCATTTGACCAACGTCATAAACGGGTGTGAAGACCAAGCCAAATAGAAATGGGGAGGTTCCTCAGTCATATCTGGTGGGAACTCTAATTTTCTGGAATGAAGCTGGAGATATTGTAGTTTATAATAATTTGTAATCAAACGACATCGTTGATGGCCCTAATTCTAAGTTTACTCAATCTATATACGGTGCATTAAAGTCACCTACGAAGAGATCTTACTCCTATTACACCAAGACTTAAGTTTGCTTAGGATGGAGTCATCTATTACACATTGTCGACTGCAGTTTACTACAACTAACTTAATATCTTTCCATCCATATTTCAGCCTGTAAAGTACCAGTTCACATGTCCCTGAATAATGTGCCACCCTCTCAACCAGTTGAGGTACTTGTGTGCAGAAGATCACCACACCTCTCCTACGGTTTAGTCTATCAGCCAATCAACTGAATTTCGTCATCGAAGCTCCTGTTTATCTGAGGGCAACGTGATAGTGGCTTGCATCATCATTTATATGCAGCCGGTGTGAGACCGTAGCGTACATTGTGACACCACTAATTGCAGTTGTCACGTTGCACACCATCATCGACTGTGAAATAGCATTCAGGTGAACCACAAAGATGTTTAAATCGCGCCGTAAGATTGTTTTGTGATCTCTCAGGAAGAACAACAACGAAAACCGAGATCTAGAAAAAGTGTTTTAAAGCTTGATAGGTGATATAAGCGAAAATTAGAGGTTTGTACTTAACAAGAATAGTAAAAAATCCGACTACATTCGGTACAAAAGGTTAAAATCTTTGAATACTAACAATAATAAGCTATATAATCAATGAAGAAAAATACCTGTGCTCTTTTTTGTATCTGTACTCAGAAAGGAGAGGTGATAAAGTTCTCTAGTAAAAAGGCCACGTTCTTAGAGAATAATTTAACTGAAGTAGACTCATCTAAAGTAAAACCGGTAGTCTTGATGCCTAAATAAACGATCAATACTACATATTATACTCCGAGGAAAGATACTGATGACCTCAGAAAATGACACGCGTATTGTAATTATTCTTTAAAGTGGGGACTGTGAGACATCTCTCTCCAAGGCTCACTCAATTAAGATTCGTTGTGAGTTTTAACCCATATAGGTGCAATGGTGGGTCTCCCCTCGGGGTCAGAGCAAACTGATCACCCTGAAGCCGTAGAAAGCTAAATACACCTGAATGTAGACTTTTCTTCTGATGACTCTTTATAGAGAAATCCTCTGTGCAAACTTGAACGCTTCACTTCAGTTAGCAGGTAGAAAATAAGAGCATAAAATCACTGTTGATAATCATATTGAATTCGGATTTTCAGATAATTGGCATAGTGCACAAACGTATCTGAACAATGCGTCAATTATGTCAGAAATATTCCGCAATGTCCCTTAGATTTTAAGAAGATTTTCGCATAATGGTCTGTTGTGAATTCGTATCGAGAAAAGATGAAATATTTGTTTATTGTAACTAAAGAAAAAGGATCAAATAAGAAATATCAAAGTCGACATTAAAAAATGACTGAGACAACCCTCAAAGATACGCCGTTTTGTTTTCTCTTTTTATATAGCCTTCTTCTGGTAAGACTGTTTTATCTTTAAAAGTTTATACGAAATGATATTCCTGACTCCCACTATATGGTAACTCAAGATAGCAACTGATATAACAGGTGTAAGGCCATATAAATTTGGTCGTAGCATCATGCCATATTCGAAGTTGCATAGAACTACTCATAAATGTCGACCAATAGTTGTGGATTCATTAGGTTAACCATTAAATGTGAACGCCAGTACTACAAACTACTAAAACTTAACTACGAAAGTGAAAATTCTAGCATCAACCTAGTAATAAAGATATATCAGTTCTAAGAATGCACATCCATTCATGACGTTATTGTTTGCCATTTCATCATGAGAAACAGATCTTCAGAAAGCCTTCTTTGGGGAAAAGCTATGGCAGGACCTAATAGTCGCACTAATGAATATCCTCCTCAAAGTTGTTTGTGTCATAAATAATGTAGGACAACTTAGGAACCGTTCAGCCTCAGGAACAGACACCTTACCAGATGTGGGAGTAAATGTCAGACTGCAAAGATGTAGCATGTTTTCATCAGTGATTTTGGTGAGGTAAAAGAGGTACTGACAAAGTGGACAGAGATATACCTCACTAAGACGAAAATGTAGGCCTTGTAGGCTTTGTGATTAAGGTAGATATGAATTTCCCACCAGTTCCACTTAACTACTAGACCTAGTATAGAATAATTGGCTTGGAGTTGTTTGACCGTTTTATCTATACGAAGTAACAGTAGAGTCCCATAAATGTCTGTAGCAGCTCCTCTTTATGAATCGTTTCTAAAATAAAAAGTTTCTGAGATCTTCAACATCCCACGGAACCCATACGTTAAATTTACTTCTGTTATCACGTAAACAATGACAAACAGACTCTAAAAAAATCATCAGAGGGCAGCAAAAACCTCAACCGTACGCTGCATAATCGAGTGCACTGATCTCGTTCCTCAAGTCTTTCAATTGATAAGAAATACTTGATTCCCAAAATGAAGCGCAACCTGATGGTTTCAAAAGTGATTTGTCCAAAGAAATTAAAGATTTAAACGCTTTTTAACACCATATTGTGAAACAGAGATTCAAGTTCACCTTTAATTGCATTTCTACAACTATCGCTATTCACCACATCAACAACCATGCCGTTAATAACGGAATAATAATCTAGCTCATTGTAATCAACCAACAAGTAAATTCGGAAATATAGTCATGGTTAGCACAAGACACAAATGAATCATATCTTGTATTGAAAGAATTATTATTTCTTTAAATTGCAACTCATTGCATAAGTTTGTTTAAATACTCTATTAGACTTAAAAGAGTTAATTTAGGGGGTCACGAACGCATCGCGCGAATTATGTCAACTCTTGGAAGGAAAGCAAGTGTTGCTCGGTATAATCGAGACTCATTGATATCTGATGACTTGATACAATCAATAAACTCTGAAGTATACCAACGCAAATATGTTTTCGAAGTGGCTTGGGAGGTGGTCAATAAAGGTCAAAGTTTTGTCAGTATTACTTTTCTTACATTTTATTTCTAACCTTATCAAACTGACTTCATTGAGTATCACTTTTTTCTTCTAGTTGGTGGAATATATACTGTCATCCGTACTAAGGCTGCATCTGCTGTAGAGGAATTGGGTGACCGTTATATTTTATTTGGCCCACTTAATGAAGTATGCATGAGGACTGAAGTAGATGTTGCAGAGCCAACAAATGAGGCGTTGAAGCGTACTGTTAAAGCCATGCGTGAACATGGCACAAAAGTGAGTGAACTTTGGTATGATTCATCTGCTGTTCGAGACAAAGCTATTTCTATGTTTTAATTATTTGGTGGTTTTGCTGATTCTCTTGAGATAGCTCTACATAATCGGTGTCTATGACTTATAGCTATTATATTCTGAAGTCCGTACAGTTAAAATAATTTCCCGTTTCATACCAATTCACCTAGTTGTCCTGTGCATTATAATTTTATATACGTTGTGTCGCATAGAGAAGTACGAAACTCATCATTATCCAAGGTTCTCTAAATATGAAACGCGGTAAGACTACAATTCATAGACTACTTTTGAGAGACGCTGAAAAGACCATGAGAATATCCACCTACATATTAAGGCTAAATGAAGATTATAAACCAGTGTGAGGAATCAGGATTAATATTTACAGTTGATAGATAGGGTTAAGAATTAGATTTATGGTTTTCACCACGAACTGATATCGACTTTAATGCCAAAACCCTATTTATCCAAATAATTAAATTAATTTTGCGCCAAAATTCAAGACCTTATCTTAAATTTGATTGGTTTGTTCATAGATTTTAGTCCTACCTGAAACTACCACTCACCATAGACACTTTTATCTTATTTAAAAATAAAATCTTAAACTTACCTTTCAATTCTATTTTAAAAACAAATGCCTGATTTCGTCTAAATGGTTTTTAACTTATCATAAGTCATTTTTATTCGGGAACATCACTTTAAAATAGTTGATATTTTGGAATATAATGATAGATAATAAAACTATAATAATGCCACAAACTCCACTTATGGTTAAGTATGTACATTTACTGGATCAACGAGGAATTATTTATCTATGTGGAAAGTTTATTTTGACCATAAGAGTTTTGTTCACTGAAAACTTATTCACCTGGTGTCCATGGAAAATTGTTCCAACAAATGTGGCAATTGAAAATGTATTATATTAAACCGTACTGACTTTGCTTAGTTATGTGGTCATCTGTCCAGTTGAAGTTGTTTGCAGGATCACATGTATGTTAAAAGCTCATCATTATTTGCTAAGCTGTTATTAAAACTAACAATATTTAATTAGCTACTTATTAAATGTTGCCTAATATTGCTTATCTGGTTGTTTACAAAGCAGTTTTGTTCTTTAGTCATCGCAAATAAATTTGTTCATAGTGTCGAACTCATAATAGGAAATCATTTGTAATTCTCTTGTTTGGTGCGAAAGTGAGATGATTTGTAATCATGCAATCGGTATGTAAAGTTATCTAATGCTTAAAATGTTGTATATGTGATTAGCCATTAGCTTTTTGTTCTGAGGATTAGTCTTGTTTCATATTACATCTAGAACCGACTGTCAAGATAATCACTTTTTGGCTAATTCAGTTTTGTTGTTCATCTTTCTCATTTCAAGCTCCTGAATGTCTAATAATCGTAAGAAATTTTCATCACCATACATACCGAAATTTCAAGGTATTCGTATTTTTTTATTGACATTGCGAAACTGTAAGATCCCGGAAATCATCATTATAAGAGTGACCCTGAATTTGTATGACCTACCTAAAGATCAAGGCTGAAGGCCCGATAAACACAACTTTTTGAGAACTCAATTCAGATTCCAAGATCAAAAAATATTTATCATCCTCGAGCCCATTGAATGAGGAATTTTATGAAATATACGATTTTGTTGAAATGAGAAGAGATTTTAACAGAATAAATTGACAATATGTTTTGACATTGAATTAATTATTATATGACTAAATAAACGTGAATGTACACTATTCTTCTGATGACTCTTTAAAGAAAAATTCCCTATGCAAACTTGAACGCCTCACCTCAGTTAGCAGGTAGAAAATAAGAGCATGAAATCACTGCTGATTATCATATCGAATTTGGATTTGCGTTGTTTATTGTGAATAAAAACAAAGATCAATTATAAATTTTGACAATTTGGAATGGGTTGGCTAAATTTCAGTAAAGATGTCACTATATAACTCACTTCTATCATTTCGGCTGACCTGATATCGCTAAAATTTGTAAATAATCTTACTCTCAATTTTTCGAAGTTCCTTATAAAGAGGCTGAAGTTCTTGTATTAAACTTACTCAAGTAAATTGATTTTTTTGAGGTTCGTTTAGATTTCCAGTATGTAAGAATAATGGCTCCTACACATTGTTATCGGACGCCTCTTTTCTGCTTTCAATTGAAACTTTCATCACATTACTCTAGACTTTTTGAACAAAATTTTTCTCTTCCTTTAGACATGATTTTATATGCTATTACTGAAATCTATATATTTTTATCGGAATACTTTGATTTGTTGATTCATTTTGATGTTATATTGTCTTTACATTCGTTTTCTTATCTTGAGTAGGGAGACCTTTAAGGTTATAAAGGAACATGTGTGTATGATCTTATCCTTTTTCCTTGAATGAATGGACATCGTGTCATTTTACATTTGGAACTTGAGTTCTATTAATTTTTGTTTGATTTGAGAGGTTTTGGTTTTTATAAAAGTATCCCATCGACATTGGTAATTCAAACTAATAATGTTTAAGCTAAGAATATATGGATTATTCCTCAGTCACCATTCTGTTCATAAATGTAGCCTTATTAACTGGTTTGCCCTGCAGTGTTTTATTTAACATAGGAATTATAGGTTTGATAGCTCCGTTAAAGCAGGTGATGATTTGAAGAATTATAGTTACCTTTAAATTACTTCAAAATTATTTATGTGTAATTGTGTAATTTAACTTAACTGCTTCGATTTTACTCTTCAGGTTATTTATAGATATTAGGCTATCAATTATTTCTAATAGTAGTGTGTCTGTGTATTACCTTGTCCAGTTAAATCAACTCTGTCAGAGGGTTATGAACTCTGCGAGCATGAGATCTTGTCAAAGGGTTCCTTTTTCAAACTAGTTTTTTAAATCCGTACTGTATTCGAGTGATTATCTTAGATTTTGGTAAAATAGATAAACCACTTATTTGGGTTAACGTCCATAGTAGTCTACATGAATATTCAAACGGTTTTATGAGTCAATGAGTCCCTTTTTAAAACGAGTAACGTTTTAGGCAAATTAGCCACTACGTCCACACTTGAAAACTAATTTTAACAATAATTATGGCAGTAGTCATGTATTTCTTCTATATTTCCATTCAATGTTTACCCATTGTTTACAGGTAGTTTTTGGTCGGTGGCTTATTGAGGGCTATCCCAACGTTGTTCTGTTTGACATAGGATCATCAGCTTGGCGCATCGATTCTTGGAAGAAAGAACTGTGGGAATCTTGTAATATTGGGATTCCGGTCCATGATACTGAGTGTAATGATGCCGTCATCTTTGGAGCACTTGTTGCCTGGTTTTTGAAAGAAGTAAGTGAATTTGTATCAGATTGAAATTCATTATATATGGTTATCTTCACTGTATCGGTAAGAAATTTAAAAATTTTAGTCATGTACGCTGTGTGATTCTACACAAACGAATTGATGTTACTAATTAGGTTAAGATAAAATGTGTTGTCACTAAGCAATATTGATTGAAATGGGGAGTGGATTGGAAGATAGCTAGGGACGGCCAAACCAAATGTAACATCGGTCCACGAAGTCATTGATTTCTTGACTAGGATATGTTGAAAATCGCAGGTTATTTTGTTGAGGTCTACACATGCGTAGTAGACAGTCATTTGTGATGTTTCGTGGCATGGCTCAGAATCGGCAGCAGTGACTTAAGTATATTTACTCTTTATCTTCCTTTAGATTATAGGTTCGGAAATTATTCAATATCGTTTTACTTTGTGAATTTATTCACTCTCCTCAGATTAAAGTTTCTGTCTAATGTTGTTTTAGTGTCACTGATAAAAATTCTATTTTGGTTTTCTTTGTGGTGGTTTCATCTCTTTGTGCTGATTCGATACACCAACTTATGATTCATGTAAATTCCAGGTTGTACGTTACAAATGACTGACTGATAACGTTTAGGAGGTACTTTTAAATAATCACAGACCGACTGTGATAGAAATGATAACAATAATCTTATTCACAGAATTTAAAGTGATTTATTAATTGATGATTCTTACCAAGATTTTTGAAGTTTTCCCATCTTTCTATCGATCAAAGTACTATGGCTTGGTTTATATTATTGCTTAACATGGTTATAGATGCATATTTCTGAAATTATATTAGTTAACTAACTGTCACTGAAGTCTGTCTCAGGTTTTGAATCTTGCAACTAACTTTCTAGTAAGGGTTTCTGAATGCACTAGAAATAAACATTGTTTCACAGATCTATTATGCATCGTGAAAAATGGAAATAATTCAGGTAATGACTTTTGCGGATTGTACGAAGCTAATGAGCAGTTCTTTATAAAATACTGAAGACGATTTAACAATATTTGTTTCTTTTTATAAGGTGTTTTTTGTTAAGGCTTTTTGATTAGTTTACGAAATTCTTATTTACTATTCTAAAATTGATGTATATATGGATAATGCCATGCATTAATCGTAATGGTAGATTATTTATTTGAACACATAAATATTGATACAAGGGGGCACCAAATATATATGCGCCACACAAAACAATGAGAATGTGAAGAGAAGAAAGAAGGTAAGGTGCGTATAAGGAAAAAAGAAGAACAATAACGACCACAGATTAGTGTAAGATAATGTAGTAATAATAATAAAAATATTGATAACAATAGTAATGTGGGGAACGGAAAGGTACAGCCAGAAAGAATTCTTTCAGTTGAGGAAGATACAACCACTTTTTATGAAGAAAGTAAAAGAAGGTTACAGCAGGATCGCCACTGGCTTCTATTCTGAGCCGTATCTGATAACGTCTCTAGCCACTGTGTTGCACCATCTCTCGGACCCCAGCCAGGGAGTCGTGAAGGACCAACAGAAGCCAGCCCTTTGCAGCTTTCTTTCATACCACGACAATATGTCATACACTGACCACCTCTACGCTTCTTCCAACTAGTCCAAGTGTCGGCAAATAATGCACGACGTGGGATTCTCTGGGATGACATTCATAGAACATGTCCAAGCCACCGAAGTCGGTGTTTTAAGATGGTGACACCAATTGAGTTATCATCTCTGTGCGCGAAGCCACGATGCCGAACCTCTGGATTAGTAACATAGTGTTGCCACTGGATGTCAGCAATCCTTTGTAGACAACGATGATCAAACACAGAGAGTCGTCTAACACCCTCAACTCGGAGAGGCCAGGTTTCACAAGCATAGAGTAAAACCGCTCTCCACGACGCGTTGTAGATCCGACCTTTTACAGCCAGACTGATATCACGAAGGCGCCAAAGATGGCCCAGATTGACATAAGCCACTCTGGCTTTCACTATACGTGAATTTATCCCATCACTCAGGCCACCACCAGCACTTATGCAGCTACCTAGATGCACGAACTTCTCGACTACTTTTGTCTTTTCACCATCCATGGGAAAACAAGATTAGAATCCTATCAGTCTTGTAGAAGTACTTTGCACTTCGAAGGTGCAAAGTACATACCGTAGCTACGGATACTGATTGCCAACTGAGTAAGTGCGGATTGCATTGCTTGGGCATTATCGCACAGTAAAACGATATCATCCACATACTCAAGGTCGAGAAGTCTTTTCATGCAACACATCTACACCGCCATTACTTACATTCGTCAGAGCTTTTTCCAGAATGTCATCGATGGTGAAGTTGTAGAGGAATGGTGAGATTGTGACGTTCCATGATAGGAAACCGGATATTACTAGATGATTTTTTATTGATATGAAGACAGCCTTCAAATGTTGTTAGTTATAAACGTAAAGACATAGTGACCTTCATAAGCAGGGCCGGATGTTTGGATCATCTTCATTTCTTCTTCAACTTAATCTGTATTCAAGGAGTAATTATATCTATATAAAAACCCTAAGTCCTACCCTCATTTCTGTCCTCACAAATTGCTGTAATCATGATGTTTCAACTGGATCCCTCTTAATACAAAACAAGAGAATATTTTCTTTTCTACTAAATAGTTCACCAGTTAAACGTAGTTAGACAACATAAAAACTCAGTACGGATCTCAAGGAAGAAGTATAAGTGGCTATCAGCAAATAAAAAATTTGATTCCGACGACTTAACAGTGATTGGCTCGAAAAATGTAATGTTTCACATCTCTTGTGCTATAACTATTAATTATTAGAAAACTACTTGTTCGTTATATTCATAGTATTTAAAAAAACTCAAATCTGTCTAATTTACTCTTAGTATTTGTTTTTGGTGATACCTACGAATATCCACTTAATTTGCAATCAATTGAATATGTCTTCGTTTTGCATTGTAGCTTAGGTCAGCAAAGCTAATTCATCACGCTTGCCATGAACTCTGAGTAATTGTGATTTTATTTATGTTTTTAGTTTGCTGAAAATGTCAGAGAACTAGAAACTGACCCTCAACCACCAATTATCGCACACTTTCATGAGTGGCTTACAAGCATTGGTTTAGTATTTACGCGTACACGTCACCTTCCTGTTGCTACTGTGTTCACTACACATGCAACACTTTTGGGTCGTTACTTGTGTGCTTCCTCTGTTGATTTATATAACCATCTTTCGGATTTTGATCTAGATAAGGTTTGTTCTTGTTTTTCGCATATTGTTTCACCACTAAATGGTTCATTCTAATGTTCATTTTCATCGTTAAAAATTAATGTCGTGCAATTTCATGATTCTCTTCTGTTTTATTTTCTCCACAAGAGGATTAACTTAAAGCAACTGAAATAGACAGTCAGACTAACACTTCGATGTATATGTTGTCAAACTATTACTGCTTGTTAGGGATATGAGGATCTGGCAGTCGAGTGTAACATATTTTTAGAAACTGAAGGTAAAGAATTTAAAATAGTAACTATATCACGTTTGAGATGTGGGACTATTGTCCCAGTATGATTATGAATACCACGGTTACATTGATCATATTATCCCACAACTGAGCGGTCGAACCAATAAAATACTGTTTGGCGGATGCTGTAAAACTGTGAATCATCCTCGGTGACTGAAGTACCTTACAAGATAATTATACATATACATATTGTAGAAAAAATCATTTAATTATACAAGTTGATGATTCAAATTTAAGCATATAAATTCTAGTACCATAATTTAAACTTATATGAATAGCTATAATAAATTATCTATCTCTCGGTTTTAAAAATGGAACCAAGTTATTGTAATTCTGTATGTTTTATAGTAACTTCAATCTTAAATATGTTCCTGATCAACAGAAGCATTTCGTAATTTTAGATCATACTTACCAAAGTAGAACGTTTTTACAAAAGAAACTGAGAATGCAGCTCCGCTATCAAACATACGGAAAAAAGTGGTGTTTACGAACCATCATACATTTTTCTGAAGTCATCATTTAAGAAAACTTAGCTAAAGTAATTTTCAAAATCATATGGTGTTTCCTTATTTTTCTTAAATACGAAAAAAGCCATGGGTTTCTGCCTCTTACATTGTTGTACTGATCCTTTGTTATGCTTCGGCACTGTTTCTATGATGAAACAGTATGTTGTGTTGAATATTATAGTGTCAGGGGCTAATAAATAAATTTTTCATCAGATTACTTGCTATCCAGATCTTTTCAAGATAGCGTTTCTGAGATGACGAAATGAAATTGTGTTTACAAATTTCCTTGTATTTTAAATCTACTTTGAAATCTTTGACCAGCACTTTTTCAACCTCCCTCAAGGTCAAACTGTCCGTAAAATACCATTAAAATCAGTAAAAATCGGATAGACGGACATAAACAACCTCTTACAAATGTTAATCGATCCAAGTTATTGCACGTTATATCCATATGTCTAGATGGAATAAACCAGAGAAAAGGAACAAATTACTAAAAATAATAATACCGAGAATAGTAAGTAACTTCTGAAGGAAAAAATAAACTAATTAACCAATGAAATCGATGAATGAAAGGTATATGATGATATAATGTTCATAACTTTGGGGAAACGTAATAGATTGGTACATATGAATACCAACTAATTCTGAGCTATATCTTTTTAGTATTTCATGGACTTTAAAAAGTAAACGTGTCCTTATTGAACTCAGATCATTAACCAAGAACTTCATAGACTTCTGACGTACGTTGCGTATTTATATATTTCTCTTCTATCCCAACTAGCAAAGCTAAGCATAACAGAAAATCATTGAGATGTATCATACAAGTCATAAGCTTTTCAAAACACTTGCCAAGTTTGCGGCAAACATGTGTATTACTCAATGATGCTACCCATACCCAAGCAATTTGTCAAGGCTATCTATGTTCCAAATATTTTTAACTTATCCCTGTACGCTATTTCTGAAAGCCACATTTTGACTTTTTGTAAGCAAATATAGAATAAAATATTTCTCAGAGAACTTGGGCTTTAAAAACCAAACGAACGTATCATCTGTACTACAAATGGAATAAGTTAGCAATCTGTAGGGACTTCTTTTTTTGTAGCTCCAAAGTTTTTTATCTGTACGTTTGATATAAATATTACGGTTTCGAACACAGCTATAATTAAACTTCTTAAGTATCTGGTTGTAAAGTGTTACATCATATTTAATTTGAGAGACTCTTCTCATACTTTGTCATTCAAGGCCTTTAGAAGATTGAATTTTAGGGGAATTTTCATCAGACGGAACTGTATTATCTGCCTATTTTGAGAATTTGCGAGTCTTCAAATATGAAAGCGATCTCTGAAAAATTACTTGAAGAAAAAGCTATTTCTAAGAAAATATAGAAATATCAAATAAAAACATTGTTGGCGCGTTTTGTTTTGTATTCCAAATTGATATTTCAGTCCATCGTAAACTTTGACGTGACGATTTGTATTACTGCAAACAGCTTGTAGTGCGGTGTTTCAGTCCGTCAGCGTAGTTTTCAGTTACAGAATGATGTGTATCCGTTTTCTAAACACCTAATATTAATGGAATTAAGTATTGAATACAGCATATATTGAGAAAGTAAACAGTAATGAAAAATGACACAAAAGCAAGATATAGAATAAAAGATGACAGACGATTCCTAATTGACTATCAAAAATCCGAAAATTAGAAATTCTTGTAAACTATTCATAATTAATTGTTTTTATTCTTACAGGAAGCTGGCGATCGAAATATTTATCATCGTTATTGTCTTGAACGTGCGGCCGTTCATTGTGCACACGTATTTACAACTGTAAGTAAAATTACCGGCTTGGAAAGTAAGTTTCTTTTGCGAAGAGAACCAGACATCATCACTCCAAATGGTCTTAATGTTATTAAATTTGCTGCACTTCATGAATTTCAAAATCGTCATGCATTGGCTAAAGAAAAGCTGAATCAATTTATTCAAGGACATTTTTATGGGTTAGTTGATGGTCTTCATAACTGATAGATAAGCTTTGTTGATTTTTAAAGATTTTTCTGAACCAAATCATAATATTTGTTTTTTTCAGACATTATGATTTTGATTTGGACAAAACATTGTATTTTTTCATTGCTGGACGTTACGAATTTCAGAATAAAGGAGCTGATATATTTATCGAGTCACTGGCTCGTCTTAATCATCATTTAAAAGTATGCTAGTATTGTTGATATTAAAGTTATTTAACTATACATATTATCCATAATGAAGATTTTTGTTTCAATCCACCATCTTTTTGTTACTTATTAGTTTATTGAATTTAATTGCAATAATAACAATTCCAAGCGATTTATAATTGTATAACTGACGGCCTAATAAACATTTTCAACCTCTGGATGACATAGAGTTTAGATGTATTTTAAAACAAACTAAAATCCATGTATGATCATAAACGTGGCAATTTTGTTTCCTGGACTCACTCATTGAAGATGATAATTTACATTGTCATTAAATGTTTCTAATTGTCTATCTCAAAAAAAGAAAGAGATCAGAGTATTTATCATTTTAAATGCTCGATGATAGTCAACTTTCTGTCTTTGAATGGTGATAAAACCAATCAAAAGATATCGTGCAATACCCTTACTGGTTTTAGAAACAGGTATAAAAATTACGATTTATCTTGAATAATTTTAAGGAATTTTCTCGAGCATTCACCACCAAGATTTAATTAACTTTTGGATTCGTTAGTGAATGATCGCTTTCTCGAATCGTTTGCCCGAAAACAACCTGGAATTATTTGACTAACTGTCTCTAATTCATGTTTTCATACACCTCATTATGTTTTCTACTTATCTCCAGGTCCATCTTTTATTTATGCAGTAAAAAAAGTAGTGTTATTATTCTAACTCATGATGTTTTTATCTAATTAGCCTCTTTTTTCTACAACCATGTATTCTCAGAATGGGGATTTGCAGAGATTGTATTAATTTCAATAGTTGAATTCACGAGTCAATCTGAGCTGAACCACCATTGATAAGCTGGAAGCACTGGACGGCCATTTCGTTCCAGTATGGGACTCAGTGGTCTAAAGGTTAGGCGTGCGCGCAAAGCCGAAGGTCCTGAGTTTGAGTCCTTCGTGTGGGATCGTGGATACGCACTGCTGAGGAGTCCCATACTAGAACGGAACGGCTGTCCGGTGCTTCCAAATTTTCAGTGGTGTTCTAGCTTAGATCGACTCATGAATAGAACTATTAAAATTATGTATTCGCTATAGCATTTTGCACAAAAACATATTGGTCCACATCTTTATGCAACTTTATAAGAAAAAAATATTAGGATAGCAATATGTGAACAGTTTTCTATCATTAGTCCGTTAATCATAGACCTGGTACGAATGTGTATTGATCCAAGTTGCGACATAGTGAGAGAAATCAACAAGACCAGAAGGGAAAATTGGATAATGTTAGCTGCAGTAGGAGCCTAAACATAAATAGAATTGTTCATCAGGAGTCAATAAAATGATAGTAGTACGAAAAGGAGAAATCATTAAAGATAAAAGACCAACTTTAAAGAAAAAGTATGGAGACGGAAGGAAAAATATGTTCATCGTATTACGATTAATGTATTAAGTATGTGGTGAATTTTTCCATTCTTCTCTGGGATTATTTAGGCAAAAATATGTGAGTCGACATTAAGAGTACACGAGAATTTAAAACTTGACATCTGTTTGTACAATCGTCAAACTGTCAAAACTTTACTATATCTAGAACATCAAATTATTACTTAGGAACTTATGATTTTTCACGAAGCTTATTTGGTTGGAAGCGACCGATTATTTTAATAAAATGTGCAATAAGATTCATGAAATGTTTCTTTTTCATTTTGCAAAGGTAATTTGTTTACGAGCTTTATAACTGAATATCATACTACAAGTCCTCTTCACTTCTTTCTCTTTTGCCTTAGCAAGCACAAACTGATGTCACTGTCGTAGCGTTCCTCATTTTTCCAGCTCATACGAATAGTTTTAACGTGGATTCGTTTCGTGCACAAGCTATTGTAAAACAACTACGTGAAACAGTGAATTCAATTCAAAGTGAAATGGGACATAGGTTATTTGAAGTGTGTCTTCGAGGGCTTATTCCTCAAGGATCTGATATACTTACTCAGGTATGGTTATAGATGTTCCTTCGATGTTGTGGTATATATTTTGCTTTACAGTCATTTTTTGTATGTAACCATCTAATCAACTCATATTTGTTTTTCAGGGTGATGTATTTCGTCTTAAACGTTGTATATATGCAACACAACGAAATAATTTGCCCCCTATTTGTACACACAATGTTGTTCAAGATAATATCGACCTAGTTCTGTGTAACTTACGCCGGTGTCAGTTATTTAATGATCGTCATGATCGTGTTAAAGTAAACCATTTGTTATTGTGTTATTATTTTTAAACTCCATTTTAATTTTCAAGATATTGAAAGTCAGTTGACTGAAAATCATCCTGAGGTACTATATAAATGGTACAGTTTTTTCATATACAGTTACGCCTAATGAAATACTCACAGCTCTTTCCATTTTGGTTATAATGGTTAGATGTTCTGAAAGATCAAATATGTGTTCTTGAATACGTCCATGTGTATTCGGTGACAAATCTGGAACATTGAAAGCCATCATTCAATTCCTGATTATTAGGTCCAGAGGAAACTGCTCAGAAATAAACCATCCCATCGTTAACTACAGTAAACTTATATTTCTTGATACTCTAAAATTACTTAGGCTTCTCCAACTATTACATCGAATGATTACATTTTTATTTTGTTCTATATAAGGTAAACCGTTGTCATATGACTTACCTGTCGATAAGATGTTACAAAATATTAAAGAAATCATGTATCATAACTGTTTTATTTCTGAATTCTGTTTTGTATGATGTGTATGTATATAATTTGTGTTTTGTTTTTCCAACTGATAGGTTATTTTTCATCCTGAATTCCTAAGTTCTACCAATCCACTACTACCGATGGATTATGAAGAATTTGTTCGAGGCTGTCATTTAGGTGTTTTCCCATCATATTATGAACCATGGGGTTATACACCAGGTTTGATTTTATTTGTCTGATGTCTGAATTTTACTAACAAATCTTAGTTTAACAGCCAGTTATTTAATCTTTTGATTATTTCCTATAATTTGTTTACTTTTCTTTTAAGAATTAGTATAACTAAAATTGATGAATTAGTTATTATTCTTTCTTTCATTAGAAAGTGTCTACCAGCCTGATAGTGAAATAATTATGGAAAACCAATGTTGTCAGCGTCAACTGTTCTTTGTCTGAAAAGTTGCAGTATATATTTCTTGAATACAAACGTTACAATTTGTTAATGTTTTGAATTCATGTTATTGAATTGAATGCAGCAAATAACATTAATGTTATGTTTCAGCCAAGCTAAAAGCTCAAATAATTATTCCGTTTCATTGGTTGTTTCCACCTTTCCATTGATGTTTAAGATTGGAACTGATCAGTTTTTTTCGGCATATGCTTGTCCCTTATGGATTGCATCGGTATTGCTATTAAGTTACAAGTATAGTAGGTTGAGTTGAATGGTGATTAACAGTGGAGCCCAAGAAGCTCGTTTCATCCTTTTTAGAACACATGATGTGTTTAATGAGCTGTAGTGACGAAAGTCTCATTCGTTATTATGATACTTAAAAATGATATGATTTAGTGCATTTTTATATAGTAATTATTCAATATTCGTGTATATTGCTTTTTTTCATTTAAGCTGAATGCACCGTAATGGGTATTCCATCAGTAACAACAAATCTTTCTGGATTTGGCTGCTTCATAGAAGAGCATGTAGAAGATCCCAAATCGTATGGAATATACATTGTTGATCGTCGTTTTCAAAGCTGTGAAGACAGTGTTCAACAGTTAACCAAGGTATTTCTATACCATCAAGACTATCAAAACCGGAATTAACCTACACCTGCAGTTGGCTCTATTTCACTCGTTCATAATCCCTTTTTGAACTCATTTTATGGTCACGTATAGGATTCAGCCTTTGGCGACTCATTCGACAAATATGACACAATTTAAAGTAGAGAATATTTCTGTATCTTTATGTATCTTATAGAATAAGAAGACAGGATAATGATTGAGTGCTGTGCATCCAATTATAGGTCATTTTCTATTGATATATCAAGATTAAGCCGAAAATATATTCGATACAAATCATTTCTGCAAATAGTAATATTTAAGGAAAAGCATCACTTTCAGAGGTGTTCAGAGTTATCCAGTACTGATTAACTTTTCATAATTGTCTAACCCAAGTCAACCTATGATGTGAGAACTTCAAATTTAACAATCTACATAGCACTCTGTAATAACTTTCAAGGTTGTTTGGACTCATCTTACTTTGAGAAAAAATATTAAAGTCAAATATCATATTTTGTTGAATGTTTTCTTGACCATTTGGTTTTTCATACTGCGTCCTTTCAAGCGTCTAAGACAAACAACTGTAGTCGTGTTGTTGTGTCTTCAATCATCATTCGTGATAAATATATGATTTCCTAATGGGCAGCATATATAGAAAATTTCTTCAATTTAAAATGGATAGCTTAGTTTTAAAAGGGAGTTGGCTGTTGTCCATCAGGTTGCCGGGTTGTTTTTCTTAATTGTAAAGTATATGAATATAAACATATATCATAAGTATAATTTTTTCTTTAAATCTTTTTTTCATTTTATACCTTATTTCTAATTTCTCTGTAGTATTTGGTTGAGTTCTGTCAATATTCTCGTCGTCAACGTATTGTTTTAAGAAATCGTACTGAGCGATTAAGTGAACTGTTGGATTGGAAAAATCTTTCCTGTGTAAGTGTAAAAGTTCTTGAATGTTGTTCATTTGATATGTGTGAGGGCTGTGATACTGCCCGGGTGCCCAAACCGAAGCAGGTGGTTTTCTTAGGAGGCCACACCCGGAGCCTTCGACCTGAAGGTCTGATCCACAAGGCAGTGGAGCAATGTAAGGAGATGGTAGCCGGTGACCAACAGTTGGTTCATACGCCATTTGTTTCTTTCGGGATCCTGTAACCCATGTGCACCATTGGTTTGGAATCAGGGTTTTCCAACTCCTTTAGGTGGATCCTCCATATCCACCAATCCGGGTAAAGAGCCGGACATTCGCTTTTCATCCTCTCAATTTCGTAAACAACACCCTTGCCACGAGAAGGTAGTGAGTAGAACTTTCCTGACCAATTCTAGACGCCAATCCATAATATTTCTTAAGCCTTTGAATGTAACCCGATGTAATATATCGTTTTTATTAATGAATTTTTTTAGTGTTAATAAACTATACATCCATATCATGGTTACTTCTTTTTGAATATAAAGACATGGATTTTTGTGCCTGTGTTTGGGTTGTTCTTTTTTAATTCATCAACGTGATGTTGACTTCAAAAACAGAGGTTTTATTATGCTTAACGTAATAAATCTATGGATCACTCTTATCGTTTGAATGTCATTAACAAAGTTTGTGCCCTATAAAGTATTGCCACTTTTGAAGTGTGTTATAATTCATATACATTGTTAATTATTAGTACGTTTCATATATGTCTTTTTTTATCTAGTACTATCAACGTGCCAGATTAATGGCTTTAAAGAGATTCTCTCCAGAACTATTCACATCTAACAATAATGATGATACTTTATCGACTCATAGTTTTCATCTTAGTCGACCATATTCAGCACCTGTATCTCCATCATTATCAGGACAATCAACACCGTTGCGAAGTGCCGGTGCAAATAGTTCAAATCGTAGCAGTCCTACATCACATTTAGATGATGATGAAGTTGATGATGACACAGAACGATTAGAACTAGGTCTTGGTGCAGTAGAAATCAATGATCCTGTACCTGGTTGAAGTACGAAAGCAAAAAAAAATCCTATCAATATTGAAGTATAAAATTAGAATGTGACTAGTTTATTTTGTTTCTTTATTTCTTCTCTTTTCATTATTTACCATTTATTTTATTTCTTTTTGTTCATTTATAATTCATTTAGATCTTTGTTTTAATGTGCATATTTTATCAATCTTATAATATTGTTATCATCCTTTATTGATAATAGTTTACACTGTACTAATTTTCTACACTTCATCAATGAATATCATTTGGACATTTTGTAAAGTCAGAATTTCTGATCTCATTTCACATGTATCAATAAGATTTAGAATGATAGAAAATATGAATTTCATTCATTTTACAATGTTTATTGAATTTTTAATTAGCTGAAAGTGTTATGAATAGTAATTTTAGTAGGGGAAAGTAATTAACTGTTTTATATGAATTAATTTATAATACTACATTGACTAATTAGCAAGCATAATTAGATGAGGAATTTTACAGTTAGTCTTTAAAGAAATAATGATTTCTGAATACGACAAGATTTATAATAACAATTATAACACACGACAATCCAGTATGTTAGAAATGAAGGTAAACGCGAAACGTTAGTTATATTCTAAGCTGAAGCTAATGAGATCGTATAACAAATTTGAAATACGGATGTCAGAGTAAAGTTAGAAATACGTTTATTTTTTATGTAAAGTTGACGTTAGAATAGCTTGATAGCATGTTATGCCAATTGTAGAAAACTGGACGTTTTCTATTTATTTTGTACTTTACTCAGGATTCGTATATTGTAAACTGAACAAAAACCTTGGTCTTTCAATAATAAACATTATATATATCTCAAATAATCTTTCGTACAAGCCATTCTAGTAGTTCTATCATCTATCTAAGATTTCATCATAAAGCTTAATGTTCGAATAAGAAATGTTCAGGTTCTTACGAAGATTCAGAATTCAGATTTTTTGTGAAGCAGTGTCTAAGAAGTCGAGGCGTTCAACTTTGAACCACTAGGTCACAGGTTTGATTCTCGTTCCACTTACTTTGGTCCGAGTTGTATCATCAGCCTGTGATGAATAAAGCGATTTCTTTCACTTTATTTATATTGCTCAGAAGTACATATCACTTGCTAAATATCCTGATCCCATCAATCATAATTTCATTTTCAATCGGAACCTCAGTACAATTAGTCAAAGTTTTCGCTTGATTACTGATTGAACCCATCGTTTTACATCCGGAAAATTTTGTAGATAGAACAACCTGATTCTTCAAATTACGCTCTCAAACTATTATTATTATCGAAAAAAAGGTTATCAGTTCAAATGTTCATTTGTTTTAATAACATGATCTAGATAACATTATAATCTGTCAATTTATCAATACTTGCAAAAAGACAAATCATGTTAGAAATGAGTATTTTTTTAATCTGGTAAACTCTACGATGACAAAGACCACTCATTTTCGCTGATTTATTTTAATATGACACTATGAGCTCACTGGTCGTATTAATGGTAAAATTCTAAGAAGTTGAAAGCATGTGATGAACTATAAATAACAAACGACTTAATGCCTTTGTGATTGTTTATTTAAAGGTCATCTATTATATATTTAATTCATAAAAAACATCCGATGAAGTTGGCCATTAATAAATATGTTATACACTCAGAACTATAGTTTTTTAGAGTTTTAAAGGAGTGAAAATTAAGAAAATTACAGTCCAAGTAATAATGTTAAGCAGATTTCTTTACTCTAACGAAAACATCTCAGTGGTTTTTATGGGAATACTGTAATAAGATCTCGTTTATTATAAATTCTGGCTGCACCTAATAATGTTCCAAGTCACTAGTCTGCATAATATATATCGTATCCAAAGAGCAGTGATGTGTGAGCTATTAATTACACCTGTCTTTGGCGTCACAAAAAGCGTATCTACACTTTTCACTTAATGCCTTCTTTGAATATTTCCTTATTATTTACAGAATATCACTAGATTTTCAGAGAAGAGAATAAGCTATGGTGGAATTGATACAAGTGGCGTCGAGGCAGCTGAAACCCATGTTCAATGTTATTATGTCAAATTTCTTTTTTGCTTATCCACCTTATTTTGGTCACAGACTATTTTTATTATAACTTGTTAGTTTGGTAAAGTTTTAATAACTAAGAACTTTCGTCTAAATTTGATAAAATAGTTTCACAATATTTGGGCGCCGAGTTGATGTGAGACATTAAAGAGGAAGAATGTATTTGTAAAATCTCAGCGAATGAATTTGAAGTAAATCCAACGTTTCGCCTGGCAATCTTGTCCAGGTTTTATTTCAAGATAATCTCATGAGAATAAATATAATTAGATAGTTTCAAGAGCAGTTTAGTCGAAAGAATAACGTTTTGATTTCTATAACCACGTTATATAGATATCGGTTTTTATATCTTTGTCGCAAAATAATTCTAACTTATTGGTTTCACTTTGAGCTAATTGTGATATTCTTCATAGTCAAAATGTCCATCATCTGCTTTTTGAAAGAAAAAAGAAATTGATGATTACTGATCTCTTGGTGGTTTTGTCGTCTCTAATCTAGACAATTTCACTGAGCTTCATTATTATCCTGAATAAAATCTCTAATGCCTAATTCATTCAACAGCCTTTTCATCAAGTTATTCTGTTACATAATTCGATAGTATACCAAAGAAAGTGACTTCATTCTGTCAAATTATAGTAAATAGAAATACATGCAGGTGAGCAAGAAAACTTGGAAGTTTAGTCTCAAAATTAGAAGGAAAGAAATTTTGAAGAAAAAATGACAGAAATGACTCATGTACAAGCGTATCTCTTTATTCAAGTTTAATTATATGAATGAAATGGTGTATTTTATATTTACTTGGTGTTGTTTTACTTGTATCTTCCCGGGGTGAACATCAAATCTGAGATGCAGGTACATCCAGCTGGCGAGTCCCACATAGGACGAAACATGCGTCTTGGATTCCACTGCTAGTCACTATCCATCTTTGCATAAAAAATGTATTTTATAATGTTATTTATCTCACTGTTAAATATCAAATAATAATTTGTTTTAAAAATCTATGATTCCTAAATTCATAACATATCTGTTATTGGCAGATGAAGGTTAAGTGAACAACAAATAGATTGGTATATTCATACAATGAGTTCTTTATTGAACGTAAAAAAGATTTTGGTTACACATTGACTATTAACTATAAACTGATGACCATTTTGTAATCTCAAACAAATTAGTTATATGATTAAATTAATTCCGTAGGATTTTAACATTTTAATGGATAACATAGTTATAAGTGAAAGGTATACACCAAAACATGAATATTCCATGTTTCCCATATACATAATTTAAATAAGCTTAACTCTGTGCTGTGGGATGGTATAAAACAAGTTTCTAATTTTTCTTAAGTGATTAGTTAGTTTCTAGCTAATTCTATTCTAATTCGTTTATTTTACATATATCATCAATGAACTACATTGAACAATCTAAATTTTTATGCCTGTACTTGTTTACTATACAAATTGATTAAAGTGATTGCTGACAATGGTACTAATTACATAGTTGTTTGACTGAATTTTTTTTTCAGTCTCTATCAACGTTTAAATTGTATAAAATTGAATAATGAAAATATCATACACTAACCGGTAGATAATTAGGTATTAATAATATACATAAATGAACTACATTAGGTAATATCAAAATCCTGCTGTAATTATGATAAACTTATTCGAATTTTGTATTGAAAACTGATTATTAGTGACCTAGGTTAGTGTATATATAAAGTTCAAAAATGAACATTGAAATTGCAGAACATAATTTATAATATAAATAGTTGTCAGACCATAAAGGTTAAATACATTACAGCACATAGTTATTTATCTGATCAGTTGGGTAGCAAATGGTAAATAGTTGTATGAATGATGGTTTTTATTAGTTGTATATAACAGTTTTACCGTGAAAATGACAAACTGAATCCTTACAGAGTGATGTTCCGAAGTAATACAATTTTGTCAAATTATAAGTGCTTATGGGACTTAAGCTATTGACTTTGATTAATCAATAGTTGCAGATTAAATGATGGTCGAAAATACTGAACAATCGATTGCGTGATCACGATCAAATGTACTACTTTTCTCAATTCCCTTACTACTATGGTAATGACGTAACACACATGATTAGAAGTTATACATTGTCTGTTAACTTTTCATGAAATGTTATGTACTTACTCACTTTACTTCTGCCTGTTACCCCCCTCGTAGAGGAGCATAGGCCGACCGCCAGCATTCTTCATCCAACTCTGTCCTGAGCAATCCTTTTCAGTTCCTGTTCATCGTTTTCATGTATGCTTCCAATTCCCGACGTAGTGTGTTCTTTGGTCTTCCTCTTTTCCGTTTCCCTTCAGGATTTCAAGTTAATACAGCTTGGTGATTTCCACAATGTATATCCTATTCACCTCCTCTTCACCTGGAACCTGGTTTGTTCTCCAACACAGTAGGCTATTGTTAATGCTATCCGGTCAGCAAATATTCAGTATCTTGTGGAGACAATTGTTTGTGAATACATTTGCTTATAGCAACTCTCCTACAATCAATATCGATTGTGATTATTTTTTGTTATGCCATTTTATTAACTTACTTAACGGACAATGTTATTCGGACAGTAACAACTCGTCTACTTCTTTGTATTATAATGATCACTATCTTGTCTGTATAAACATGTACACTTGATCACATAACAGCCTACGCATACCTCTCTCTAGCTTAAATGTTGATACCTTGAATACCGGTCGATGAATCATTCTCTTCTCCATGTATATCTGTACTCGAGGCCTATTGTTAGCTTTTGCCTTTCCATTCTGTGCATCTATTCGATTTGACTATAAATTTACCCTTACATTCGCTTCTCTGCTTCAAATCCTCTCGGTGTGCTGGCAGCTTTGTTATCAATGCTATCCGCTAATAAACTGTAGTCACCGCTGCTTATTGCTTTTTGATTTCAAACACCGCTGGTATATATATTATCGGTTGTCATGCGTTTTTGGTAACGGTTGTAGTATTTCTCCAAGTTTCAGATGCTTACATTAGAACTATATTGATATTCGTATTGAAGATTCTGACTTTGGTATTGATTGACAGTCCGTTTTGAGTGGCATATGTTCTTCAATTGTGGGAATGCTGTCCTTGCTTTGCTAATCCTCACATTTACGCCTGCATCGTATTCTTAACGTTCATCGATGATGCCACCCAGATATGTGAAACTTCCCACATCTTACAGAATTTCTCCAACAAGTGCGACTAGGTTGGTGTTCTCCATGTTGTGTTTCAGGATCTTACTTTTAG